ACGTATGTACTCTCAGCTGCATTCATGCCAAAATGTTTATGGGCACCACGCTCTTCCCTGGCACTGATGAACATAATACGCTCAGTATTACAGGAGAAACACAACAGAAATGTCAATTCTAGTCAAAATGTCTGTGTGCTATTTTTTGAAAATAACAAATAAACAGCACAATATGACTCTTGACACTTTGAGCAATTCTCCTGTGAAAACTTAAATAAAGTTGCCCTTCAGTATAATGTAACGTTGTGCTGCACCCACAGATGAAGCATATCGTCTACATGATTGGAAAGCCACCAGCCCATCTTCTGGATGCTGGACTGTACACACAACAGTTCTTAGTTAACAAAGCTCCTCAAGGTCTTTTTGCTGTTGACACTTGTAACTCCCAGACTGTTGCGAGCTGTGGATTTAAGTGAAAGAGACCGCAGGATTGTAGCTATGAGAAATTATTAGCTTAATACACATGGATTTTCACATCTTTGTTGCACTTAAATTCATCCCTTCTGATCCTGAAAGGTCATGGGAAAAAGTGAGGGATTGTTTATAGAGGACTGCAAATAAGAGAACTGTAATGAGTAAGCACTGTAAAAACACAACCTCAAACCTAAGATTCACAAAATAATTTTACCTCTGGCACCAATTGCCAGACAAACAAAAGCACCACAATGAGTTATTTCATCGACCCTTTGGTGCACCATTACTTTCTGAGACTGTTATCAAAGGCAAGAGTCACTGAGACCGCTGGACTCTCTCCTTTGACAAAATATAGTGTATGGGCGAATAGAATTATACTGTGTAAAAATTAATAGAAAAGCAACAAAGATATCTCCATTTGAAGAGATGAACAACACTAGTCCAATGCTAATCTTAGGCAGGGAGCAAGCCACAAAGAAAACATGCACAACCTCGAACTGAGGTAAACAGAATCACCAAAGATGAACTTACCATCAATGAATCTTGCCTGAGACATGCCCTTGGTCTAAATATTTTTCAGTGTGAACTTTCAAAGGACACCACTTTGGGAAAACATGTTTTTCTATGTGAAAAAAAAAACTCAATACATTTAGAAGTTTATTCTGAACCTCCTGTTGTGTATTTGTTTTGTTAGGCATCGATGACTGTTGGTGAGATGTGAATTGTGTGTGTTTATGTATGAATAGCACATACACAAGTTATATTACAAATGTGTACCTGCATGTACTGTGCATATGAATGATAGAAACATATAATGCAGTAAGAAAAATACTTTTCAGAAATAATTCAGAAAAAAAACATCAAGAGGACAGCTGAAATAAAAAATTGAAAATACTTGTATAAGCTTCTGATGTTTACAAACCAACAAAAGCACACAAAACACAGAAACCTAATATCAGTCTATAAAGTAACAAACATAATAAGCCTCATTACATATTTTTCATTATTTGCATGGAGGAATAAAAATACGTTATAATGTGTTTACAGCTTATTTCACTGCACCAAAGTGGCCAAACACTTCAACTGATGAAGGTTTAGTTTCATGAAATGGGGCCAACATGCAGGAGTCATGACTCATGACACAGATTAAAATGTTCCAGTGTGCATATGTAAATAACATCCATGGTATTTATGCATGGCTAAACTAACTGAATGTATAAAATACTACTGTTGCAGTGGTAGTTTCTGTGGAAAATTCATCCTATGTCTTACACTATAGGGAGGAAGTGAGTCTTTCATTAACAGTTAAGCTGATATGTTTCTTGAAAATTAAATCCTACCAGCTCTGTGCTAGCCAAATAACATCTGAAATAGGAATGAGGTTGAAGGAAACAATTAAATAAATGTAGCCTATTCTTATTACTAACAACCCAACTAACAAATTCTTGACCAGTAGCTGTCAAAAAGCAGCCATGGGAAAAGTGAGGGATTGTTTATAGAGGACTGCAAATTGTTGCTGACTGACAAAAGCCATGACTTAGTGACTTAGCACAGAGCTGGTAGGATTTAATTTTCAAGAAACATATCAGCTTAACTGTTAATGAAAGACTCACTTCCTCCCTATAGTGTAAGACATAGGATGAATTTAGTGATATTACTGTTCATTCAATGTTTGTTGACGCTCATTTCATTCATTTTTTTGGAAAATGAACACTGCCTACCATCAAGCTACCTGAAGAAACATCAAAAATGCAAGTTATAAGGTGCAAATACACATGTAACTATACTACTCTGGAGTAAGGGTCTGTAGAGGCAAAGTCTGTTTCTTAAAGCTGCAGAAAAACGAGGGTGCATTATTCACAGAAAAATAGGTTTTGTGTGAAGCACCTGATTACTGGTGTCTATGGGTCATTAGTGATATTTATACTAGAGAGAGGCTGAATGGAGCTATTTTACTTGGCAGAATACAGAATACAGAGTCCATTAGGCCTCTTTGAATCAGAGAAGAAAGGATATCTCAAGTGAACACACTGTGGATCGAACTGAGAATGAGCATGAAATCAAGGTAAGTGAAGAGATCTGGGACAAGAGAGGATATGGACATTGGCTAACAGAGTGATATGCTTTTAGTTTAGAAACAAATAAGGGGGATAAGCCTTATGATAAATGCAACTTCAATGAAGCATGAATGAACATGTTATACAAGGACACATAGGCCTGTATTTAATGGGATCAGATTTTACGCACTTTTTGCTAGCCTAACCCTGTTGGCTATATCTACATGCTTGGTGTTAGAGGGTAGGGCTATAGTTGGCTTATTCAGGGGCATGTTAATGATCTACACTATACTAACCTAAGTTAAATGTGCAGGCGTACACTGATGATGCACAGGCAGCATGTTCACGCAAATCAGATGTAAGTATATTCAACTGGAACAAGATTGAGAAAATGTACATCTAATCATCTGTACATGTCACAGATTTTACCGATCAAAACACCAGTAACAATTCTCCTAGTTATAAGTGAATTTTCCTTTATATCTGCGTTAGTAATGTGTGGGCATTACTGCATAATGTGTTGACATCCCCCTCCGAAGAGTAGACCCCTGTAGGTGTTACTGTTAAAAGTGATGGATGTGAAGTAAATCAGAAATATTGTTGATATCTCAGTTTGATTTTTATGTCTACATACTCAGCATGAGGTTAGATATTTACTTTGATCATGCAAAATAATAAGGGGATGTATGATATGTGACAAGTACCGTACACCGCTGGTGCGACACGCATGTACATATGAAGGAAAGAAAGAAAATAAGTGAAGTGTGACAAATGTTGCAGATGTATTCATTAATTTACAGGACCACAAGTTACCAGTGATACTATACTAGTATCAGAGAATGGCGGTAAGACATGATTTCCTCAGTCAGCTAAGTTGAGGTGTTAAATGATGAACATGTTTCATCACAATGTGTGAACATGCATGATGAAAAATGTCAGTCCATAAGACCTGAATCACAATGACGAAGAGGACTTGTTCTTCCATTTCTTTATTTTACTTTCATTTCTCTTACATCTCTGATTTTTCCCCTCCTCATTATATTGAAACAAAAGCATATATGACATTATCCCCTCCATTCTGCACACTGTAATGTCACCATCCATCTCTAGGTGCCTTGATGCTGTAAATAGCACAATAGTAGAAATGTGTCTTCTATACATCCAAGAGCACAACAAACAGGACCTGTCATTAGTTAAGGCAGAGCCTTTGATCAGATTTCACTCTGTTTTTGAGGAAGATACAAAGGGAGAGAAAGAGTAAGGAAGACCTGATGAATAATTGAAACAAAGATAGAATCTGCAGCTTACTGCACACCATTGGTAATTTCAAGTTCTGTGCCATGAATCAAAAATTCAAACACATTTTTAATTGGGATGCAATGTGTGAAATCATTAGCTGTCCCACTATCCACATTTGTCCATCCAATAATAAAGGAATTTTGTCAGTCATATGCACCTAAATGAGACAGACATTAACTATCTATTTGCAGATCGTCACCATGACCAAGGAGTCTTGATATTTTTGCAGCACATACTTTGAAAAATACCCATTTATTTAAATTCTGCCATGTTCTGTGGAGGAAACTGAGGATATTGAGAAATGACATTTATTTACAAGTGTCTGTCAGTCTGAATACATTAATGGAGCCTCCTGACAACATAACACTTCAGACTTAACTGACATCTCCTTTGTCCTGGCATTCACTGTCATCTGAACAATGTTGTTTGCAAACACCAATTACATCCACATACTGATTGGCATAACACTGTGGTGAGTTTGTTTGTGGGCCTTCAATAGGCAGAGATGCTGATTTTCTACTGTCATGACACTGACAGTCACAAACAGCCTGAAGGTAACTCCATTTTTTAGGTGAGTGGGATTTGGAAGGTCTTTCAAATAATTTTGTTTATTTCAGTATGCCTTATTTTCACACATTTATATTGTATTGATTTACATAGAAAAAGGTCATAAAAAGTTTATATTTGGTCCCAGGTCTGACAGAAGAGTCAACTATACATTCTTGTTCAGGAGGACATAATTTAAAACACAATTTGTTCAAGCAGCGATTATTTTGTTTGGTTTTACCCTCATATGTCATCCTTACTAACTGCAGATCTCAGCATGAAGATAGCTGAAGGTTGCTTCTCCCTTGGTGCTACATCCAGTAAACTTGCATGCTCTTATAAATATTACACCCATGAATGTTGCAACATGAAAGATTGTAAAGACAGCTGCTGTATGTAGTGGCAGATGCAACTTGATTTCTTATATGAACACATGCTCACATGAGCATTTGTGTCTGCAAATTTTCAATATAGGATCAATGTCTAATCTGGTTAATATATCCCTTGGGAACAAAGAGCCAGCTTTTAACAATATTATAAACTATAGCCTGTGCCAAAGTATGACTACTATTTAATCATCAATGAAAACAGAGCCAAAAGTGGATAACGATATGGAGGCAGGATCTAATTTTCTAGAGCCTTAGTCAGCTAGTTTGAGTCAAGGAAGGGTAAGAGGGGTCTCAGTGATGACACTTTCGTCTTGGTTTTAATTGGAATAAAATGACAACGGTTCCAGCCACTAACTCTCCAATGATTGCACCTTCAGAGGAGGGATTTTCTTCCAAGTCTTCTCCTCCGTCATGTTCTGCTTCCCTGCAGACAATCTGAAAGGTAATGGATTAGATACAGTTAAGCCAAGCAAAGATCCACCAGTGCCCCCATCAGAAACCATGAGGAATTACAACACAACAGATGAATAACGGCCTGTGCTCCACAGTGTCTGTGACTATGCTGAACATGATAGTATGTATGAGGTGCTCCGACAAAGCAGGTAGCCAACATGCTACTGCTGCAGGACTTATTGCTGCGCATAACAGTATGAGACAACCGACTGGGAACCCTATAATCAATAACCAAATAAACTGTGTACCAATAGGATTACTTGTGCTTTGCATTGACATTCTGTATCTAAAGACCGTATCTAGCACTATACAAACAGATACAGACAGATGCTGTAGAAAGCTGATTAAAGAATATCCAGCGGTTAAATCTCATTAATCCATGCTGACCAGCACAAAAGCAAACATAACACATCACAAACACACTCAAATTTACACACTAAAATGAAAATGAGTTTTAAAATGTAAAAAAAAAAAAAAAAAAGAAGAAAAACTTGCATAAAAAACAACCATCTATATGTCAGTCATTTAAATGTTACAACCCATCCACAAATATGAGCTGGGGATTTGATTTATGGCAAAATAGATGTAACAACCTCTTGAGTTTGGTACCCAGGATGTTACAATAATCTAAGACTAATGAAACACACACTTCACCTGAGTTTGGTTTTGTTATTGGCTCTACCAAAACTCCTGTAATGGTATTGGTTTAACAGAATCAAAGGAGATATAAGGCAGAAAACAAGCACTTTGCTGGTAATAAGTAGCACCAACTGTTATTGAAACCTAATTTCTGAAATGACACGAGTAAACACTGCTCAAGGTGCATTCCCCCAGTATAGCCTAAGATCTATCAAGAGGAAAACCACCCAAATAAAAGTCAAACCACTGAGAAGAGCGATATGTTTGAAATAAAAACTAGTGGTGGAAAAACATTTGGACAGGCAGTTGGCAAAAGTTCAAGTGAACATAATTTGATGGTAAATTAAACATGAGTACAATGGTTTTGATTTTTGGCACATTTCTCATGTTTTTATACCATAGCTCCCCCTTGTGCTGGAAAGCTGTTCACACACAAACACATTCCTTCAAGGCCCTTAAATCCATCTATTGCACAGATCAATGTAGTCTAGAATCAAAAGCAAACCTAAAGTGGGGAGAACCCCTAAAATAAAACTAAAATGTGAAATAAATTAAGTAAAAGCAAGTCATTATTGCATATAAATGCAACAAACTTAAAATAAGGTGGCAATGTTTACAGTACAAAAACATAGTGCCAATGTGAACAAACAAATCCCTCAGTGACAAAAACAAGAGAACAAAAGATAATGACCAACACACAAAAAAGAAACACTTAGTACATTCAAACAAGTCATCACAGTTTAAGCACTTGAGACAAGGTCCGTTTTGTGCCGCTGCATAGGTAGGAGAGTAGTGCTTCGCTTCAGTCCAGAGTATTCAGTCGAATTCCAGCACGATGTAGATGCATTTTGAGAGAAAACAAAAACAAGGTATAATGAATCATTCACGGCTTCTCAACTCAAAGACTCGTGATGGGCTGAGTGAGGCTTTTACTACTAATACAAGTAATATCAAATCTTGCGCTTATCTACTCTGGTTGAGAGCTGGAAGATTGTCCCTCTTCCTGCGTCGCCAGGTGTTACGGTTGTACTGCTGCTGGTTCCTGAAACCCGGTGCCTTGTTATGACCCTGGGGAGCAAACTGCCGCTGGGCACTGAAGTTACCTTTTGATGAACTGTGCTGCTTTCACAGCAGTTTCTACATTAAAGCTGATGTCCACATTCACCTCTGTTTCATGGTCAGTAAGCTTGATGATTGTCACCTGGGGACAGGTCAAACAGTCAATCCACGGGTAGGTATGCCACCAACATTTCATGATTTGTGCTGAGATGGCTGGCAACAGTTTTGTTAAGCCACTGTTCAGAACTTCAGTTAGCTGTAAACATTACACAAACAGTTTGGGCCAAAAATAAGAACAATGCATGGCGATGTGCAGGTCACCAAAAACTCAACAGTAGGGCCTGGTTTTATGCTGTTTTTATGCTGTAGACATAATTTATCTTTGTACACTATCCCCTAAACCCCTCACATGCACATGAAAGCAATTCATATTCAAGAGATAGTCCTTAGGATTGAACCATCTACTGTATATTCAAAGTCCTCATTTTCCATCGGTTGTATTGACTTTTCCTTAAGTCACTAAATCTCTCTTAAAACTACCCAATTAAACAGGAGAAACAAACATCAAATAAATTCACCACAGAATACATCTGTGTCTTACCAGATCCCACAGACAGATGACCCCACCAGAAAACATAAAAAGGAAACCCATGGCAACCAAGCAGGCCCAGATGACCAGAGGGAAATACGTAGAAGCTTCTTGAAGATGGACTCAATGCAGACAAGTACAATCACAGCCAGGAAGATAGCCAGCGCTGTGGGCACAGGGATTACAAAGGCCACATGGTCGTCAGCGATCTGAAAAAGAACAGAATAAAACAAGACTAGGTATAAACCTTGTATATAGCTGGACTGTGTATGGGTATATCATACACAACACAGCAAAAGGTTAAATTAAAGCCCCCTTTTAGTACAATGGATAGCGGCACTTGGCCAAACGTGCCAAAAACAATAAGTTATTTCTAAACTACATTAACAAACTTCAATGTTTAATAGAAAATAACATTAAAATGCAACAGCACAGCTTGCTGTCAACACATAGGCTATTGGCACAGGAGCAGGAACACTTACAGTGAAAGTCCATTTCTGATATTATTGTCGTTTACACTATACTGTTCCATTGTCCTCGCTGCGTGGCTGTCAAGTGAGTGTCAGTGAGTCAAGGACATTTGAAGATGTAGAGCTGGCATGTGGTGGGTCCCACCAAAAATAGAGCATAAGAGAGAGACAGAAAAACAGGAATAATTAGTTAAAAGAGAAAACTAAGTTTGCAAAGTTAGAAAAATTAATAAAAGAATAACATTTAGAAGGCAGATACCTTCTCGTGGGGGCATGAAACATCCTGACTGTGCTATAAAAAGCCATTCCCCAGCACCTGTTGGATACCCTGGTGTGAGAGCTCCTGTTGTCTAGCTTATCCTTAGGTTGCTCCTCCACCTCCTCTCTTAAGTCTTAAGAAAAGGGGGAGGGGAGGAAGAAAAAGAAGATGCAGCAGCAGAGAGAAGTCAGCAAGTATGAGAAAAACATAAAAGAGTGGAGAAATTACTGGACTGACATAATGCCATGTAATTATTTTCACATGTATGTTTTGGAATCTTTAGTTATCTTAGACTGAAAAAGTCACCTAAGTCTTCTCAAAACTACTTGATGTAACTTCATTTTTCTGGCTCAACTGTGTGTCACAAACAATGGTTTCTAACAGATGACTCTTCAGTTCTTTTGCAACAATAAGCAGCTCAGAGAGCAGAGTGAAATAAAGAAAAAAAGAGGACACACACAGGCACACATTGCATTTGCTCAAATATTGTATGAACGCACCTGAAAACACACATCAACAGACCCTTTACACAAAACATGATCAAAGTGGTGGCGGCCAAAGTGCTGCTTTTGTAAAGATGAATAAATGATGACTTCCAGATTCCTCTAATCCCCTCTCAACATGAACTACCTCATTTAAGTGCTGAGTTTATGTTGCTCAACAATTAAGTCAACGAAGCAATATATTATAATATTATGCATATCAATATTCATGAAGAATATTCAAAGGCTTGTTAGAGTTGCCACTTGTGTATGTGAGCTCATTTTAGGCCAGTACATTTATTTTGCAATCTTGCAGCCCTGACCTTTATATAGTTATTTATTTTTATATATTTATTTATCTCATTGCCTATTTATTTAGCTAATGTATTAAACTGAAATCCATCCAAGGATCCAAGAATGAAAAGCAGTGACCATGACTTCAAAATGAAATTGTAGGGTATTTTTGAGAGAAGCTAAATAAACTGAATTGTTACGCTGAATGTTATGGCTAAGAAGATAACTGACCTAGTTCCTCTGATCAATAATTCACACAAACTTTTCAATCTTATGCTTCACCTAGTCTAAACTTGTTGCATTCACAAGCTACATGTATGTCAGAGTGTGTGGTTGTGTGCTTGACCTCACTGCTTTACCAGCAATATATGCAGTTTACTTCTATCAGCAGAAAGGATTTTAGGATCCACTAGAAATTCCAATAAGTCCACTATTACTGGTTTGACTACTTCTGCTGGGTTTTTAAAGTGTTCACCTATTGACACAGACACATGAAGACACTACAGTACCAGTGTTCACCGTATCTTGAAAAAGAACCTCACGCATGTCCTCATTTGACACAGAGGTTTTATCGGGGTGAGAACATGCTTAAACACACAGACACACAGCATTTCTCTAATCTGCCTCACCTTGTGCTGCAGTATAGCCTCCAGTGCTCTGAACTCAAAGGGCAGAGAGTGCGTCTGCGATGCTAGCTGAGGGGCGAGCTCCAGTACCAACCAGCGTTCCAATCCCAGACCACGAAAATCCAACACCAAAAGGGACTGTGGGGTCGTGGTGGCTTTCAGACTGTGGAGAGATAAGGGGGAGGGTAGAAGCTAAGTTAGAAAGCAGAGGGAAGCACATGTAGCCTACTCTGATCCCCACTAGTGGAACCTTACACCTAATATGTACACCTTCATTCAGATTTTCAAGATATGTATAACTGATTAAATTGTTTCTAAGTTGTGTGTAGAGGAGATTGGAGGGTGGGGATCCTATAATAAAGTGATTTAAAGTTTGAAATTACCTGAATATCTTCAGCAACTCATTCATGGCTTTTTAGTAATAGGTTCATCTACGTGCAATTTCATATTAGTGTGAATGTGTCTGTTTATGAAGATCTGCATAAAACTACAGGCCTAATAGTCGACTCTGCCCTGTAAATGTTTTCAGTGAGACACCTGATTAATGAGAAACTCCTGTTGTGTAATCAAGCACACTGATCTGATCAATTCTGTTTGCTCTCTAAAGCCACAGCCGCACCAGTAGGGATCAGCGATCAAATTCTAAATCCTGGGTCTCAGGCAGCATTCACAAACAGCCAATATAAATGCGAGGCTCGTCAGCGTGCCACAGTCTGCGGAGGCAAACAGATCCGAGACGCAGCTACAGCACAGAAAGCTCACAATACTTCAGGTAATGCACCGGTAATGCACATAATCGATAACAAATTAAAGCTAATAGTTACAATACTGTAGGCTACTTTATCCATCAGTCACTTACCCCTTAAATTTGTTCAGGCTACTTGGTTGTCCTTCTATTGGTTATTGTAGTTTTTATTTTTAGACAGACATATAGATTCTATGATTTCTGTCCTTGTCAGAAAGCAATGTATAGGTATGTAGTGTATTCAAAGGTTTACATCAATTCCTAAATCTAATATTGCTTTAAAAATGTAATGAAATAAAAAACAGGCCCAATAATAAACTAAAAGCGTTTGTCTTATTTTGCTATTTTAATACTTTATTTCAATTTTAAATGTGACCCATTAAACAGGGAAGATGAGACAATAAAGAAAAACTTACTAGAGGTTTGCCTATTTATCATATATAACTGTATTCATTTTATTATAAATGAAAATTAATGACCAAATTGCTTTCAGGAACATCATCCTCATGTTGTGTTGTAACTGCGGGATGGCTGTGAAGCTGCTCTGTCTCTTCCTGCTGCTGGCTGTGTTGTATCCCAGCTGGGCCAAAGAACAAACATGTCTCATATTTGCCTCCAACTGCGACGAGTGCATCCAGTCTGGCCCGGAGTGTGCTTGGTGCACCACCCCTCATTCTCACATTCGCTGTCATACCGTGAAGGAGCTGCAGAGAGCAGGCTGTCATCAAAGTTATGCATATAACCCTCAGGGCACGGTGCAGGTTGTCAAGAATGAGAGTAGGTAAGTTTAAAGATCCACTGTAAAACTCTGGTAAGGCTGTCAGATACAACATACCTGTCTCATTGGCTTAAATCGCAGGGAGAAAAACAACACAGACATGCATCAAATATATATAATATGACATAACACTGTTGCTTGATTACATTCTCATAATTTGTTCAAGGCCACAATGACTTCTAAGGTATTTATCTTCTTGCTGTCGACTATTGAACTTCTGAAGCACTGAGCCAACAGATGCCAAGACTCTGTTTCTCCAGCCCCAGGAGCTGTCCCTCCATCTGAGGCCGGGTGTGAGTCAGTCCTTCCCTCTAACTATCACCATGCCGACAGACCAGCCTGTCCCAGAACTCACTATGGACACCAGCAATGTGCCAACGGGAGTCAACATCACATTCAGTGGTGTCACGACTGGAAATCCCCTACTCGTACAGGTCAGCAAAATTAGGAGCAACTTTCTTATTTGAAAAGAAAGTTTTGCTTGTCTTCTGCCCTCAGAAAACAGAAATTACTATAATAATAGATCCTCTGTTGTCTAGGTGAATTTGGAGGTTGCCCAGTGTCCCAGCAATAGCGACGACTCAACCCAGAACAGGACTGGGCCCTGGTCCGTCCACATCACACCCAGAGGATTTTCATTGAGTGTGAAGCTAGAAATAACTTTAGAGTGTGAGTACAACCACAGAACCATGCTATAGTTAATATATGGTATTAGAAAAGCCCCAAAATGCAGACAATAAGATTAAGATGATAAGAATGTGTCAGAAATAGGAACAAAAAGCATGTGTCTCCTATAATGCTATAATATGACAAATGTGTGTAAAAAATAAATAAATACATAAATAAAATTTGTTTCTCCAGGTCAGTGTGACTGCACAAGAAACCGTGAGGAAAACAGCCCTCGGTGCAGTAGCCATGGAGCTCTGGTGTGTGGCCAATGTCAGTGCTACAGTCCTCACATCGGAAAACTCTGCCAGTGGGACGTTGATTCAGTTTTTTCATCCGATGAAGACTTCTGTCGCTGGGTCCCAAATGCCCCGGTGTGCAGCGGCAGGGGTCGGTGCGTGGTTGACTTCTGTGAGTGCGAGAAACGAGAAAACCCACAAGAAAGATACAGTGGCCAATTCTGCGAGTGCAGCAACTTTGACTGTCCTTACTCCAACAACCAGTATGATATGTGATAATTTGAACTCTGGATTTGCAATGTAGTATTGTCTTCACTTTTATCTCTACGTAACTACAGAAATAGAGTCATATCTAAAAGACTACAATTTATATCCAACAGAATATGTGGAGGCCATGGGCAGTGCGAGTGTGGACAGTGCATTTGTGATAACGACTGGATCGGTGAAGACTGCAACTGCTCCTTGGATACCGCCTCTTGTATGGCAACAAACCAGCAGCTGTGTAATGGTAAAGGGATGTGTCAGTGTGGAAGATGTAAATGTGAGCCACCGTACAGAGGCCCAACCTGTGAGATGTAGAGTGTCAGGCGTTCGGGATGGGAGAGAAGAAGGCTAGGTGAGAACTGGTTGCTTTTCACACAGGGTGTTATGATAAATGAAGTGCTCTCTTGTTATTTAAAATCATTCCCTGATGTCAAAAACTCAAACCATCAAGTCATTAGTGCTTTCTATGAAGACACTATAATCTTATCTTTCTGATTTTAGCATTACAGTGGCTAAAATGACTAATTCTGGGGTAATGGTTTCTCTTTGGGGACAAGTTCGTATTTTTTTGTATTTTATGTGTTGTGAGCTGTATGTAGAAACACATTAAGATAATATAGCATTATTATTATTATTAGGCCATTTGTCTTGAAGAAATTCACACTCACTGAACCAACACCATGGCATTTCAGCTACTACACTACAGCAGACTTAGTTACTTATTCATTTACAATTCTTGAATTGATTGTGTTCTCTCACCCTGCATCAGGTGTGACAGAGAGTGTGGCTACGTCAATGTTATAATGGCGGAGACCAGAAATGATCTGCCTCAAAAAGGAGAAACTCTGTAAAATGATGAGCAGTGATGACTCTTGCCTCTTCTACTACATCGTCTCCAACACGCACTCTGGAGGTCAACAGTCAACAATGACACGAGCTAGAGAATGTCCCAGTAAACTGCAGTGACCAGCTTCATGTCATATTTAGTTTTAAAAGTTTTTTTTTTTTCTATTAACACCCATTCATTTTAATTATTGCTAGAAATAGGCAAATAAAAGAATTTACAACCTTGAAAACAATGTAATGATGCTATGTTGTCATAAAACTTTTGGCTTCACATGTTTTTCCAGTTTTTATTACTTTACTGCACTATGCCATCCACCTGATGGCATCATGTCTCATTTACAAACAGGCTAAATGCCTCTGATTTAAAATGGAGCTGTAATGAGCACTGCGTAACCAGGACTACTTGATTGAAGTGTAATGCAGAAGAATTAGAATATTGGTGCACGTGAAAGCAAAGTGACTGGCAGGTTACCAGGACCCACTACCAAAGATCGTCTATACAGAAGTCAATCACTCCGACTTGATGTTTGACACTGGTCGCAACACTTAAGAATCTCAAAACAAGGACTGACACACCACTTGGTTTTTGGAGTTTCTAATGACTCAGCCAAAGGAGCTACTGACACATATTGTACCTGGTCTGGTCAGAGATACTATTTCTTTACATTTCTGTTGACAGTAATAATTGATGCTCTACCGTGTATCCTATGATTTATGTTATTTGGAATATTATTCATATAAATCCTGAATGAGTTCAAGGAGGATATAGTAATCATTTTACCTGAAACTCATTTACAGATCCCGTAAAAATGTTTGCATGTTCCTTAACAAAAAGTTTGTTTCTGTATTTCCCAGAGAACCAAGACACTGAATCCAAAATTGCTCTCTATGCTTGGGCCAGCGCCTTGCATGGTAGTTTGCTGCCATCAGTGTGTGAGCGTTTGTGTGAATGGGTGAATGAGAGGCACATTGTAAAGTGCTTGAGATGAACGTTAAACATAAATCCATTTAGGTCTCTCATTCATTACTATTAAAGATTATTATTATTAAGAAATAATAGCCAACCCTGCCAGACGCAGAGGAAGGCTTCCTGTAGCTTTGCCAGCCTTCCAGATTACAAAGGGACAATCTTGTTAGATATGAACAATATGTATAAATAGGCCCTGGTGCAAGACGCTAAGGGCTTTGACAGCCTCGCCAGACGCGAAGGCTACCTGGGGCTTTACCCAGCCAGACGCAAAGGCCAGCCCTCAACATTTCAAAGAGATGATCCAGCCACCAGATACAAGTAGGCCCTGGTGCAAGATGTTACCTAGGGCACTACCTACCTTGATAGATGCAAAGGCTACCTGGGGCATCCCCATCTCTGCCAAATGGAAAGTGCATGTGCTTAAACAAGACACAGAAAGATTTATTATATTTTTCTCATTTTTGAAATCCTGTTTTAATTTTATTTACACCCGTATTTTTTTTTATTCTTCAATGATTTGTTTCCAAGTATATTTTGTGGCATTTTGGTAGTACCTATGTATGTACATAGGAGTACCTATGTGGTAATGTTCAAATCGTTAGTTTTCTTTCGTACATCAGACATCTTTTACTTAAATTTAAACTTTTATTTTAAATTTAAATTTATTTATTTTATTTTCATCCCATTGACCGCTTACCTATAAAAAAAATCATTTCAGTTCCTTCTTCATGTAGTGAATCCTGCCATATCACAAGTTTGTTTCATAGCTTTCAGGTGTTTTTATCTTTTCTTCGTGTAAAATTGGCATCAGTATACAGAGGACAAATTTTTATAAAATTTTATTTTAACAATTCTGTGAGCTATCTTCTGTTAGTTTTATTTAAATAGTCCTAGACCAGTTATTTTAAGATTAATTGATTGCTGTAGTGACCTGTCTGGTACTGACACTCATAGTTGTTCCTGCCAAGTCTGTTTGAGTTTGAGTCAAGAAAGGGTAAAAGGGGTCTCAGTGATGACACTCTTTCCCCTTTAATTGGAATAAAATGACAGCAGTTCCAGCCACTAACTCTCCAATGATTGCACCTTCAGGAGTCATTTCTTGAAGTCTTCTTCTCTGTCATGTTCTGCTTCCCTGCAGACAATCTGAAAGGTAATGGATTAGATACAGTTAAGCCAAGCAAAGATCCACCAGTGCCCCCATCAGAAACCATGAGGAATTACAACAGATGAATGACGGTCTGTGCTATAGAGTGTGACTGTGTTGAACATGATAGTATGTATGAGGTGCTACGCCAATGCAGGTAGCCAACATGCTACTACTGCAGGACTCATTGTTGAGCCTAACCATAAGAGACAACCAACTGTAAACCCTATAATCAATAACCAAATAAACTGTAACAATGAAAGAGGCTATATCTAGTACTATACAAACCTCAGGCAGATGCTGAAACAGACATGAGGAATATAATTTTTCCAGTAGTTAAATCTTATTAATCCATGCTGGCCAGCACAAAAGCAAACATAACACACAAATTTACACACTCAACTGAAAATGGAGTTTTAAAATGTTTATTAAAAAAATAGAAAAACTTACATAAAAAACAAGGTAAACATCTATATATCAGTCATTTACACGTTACAACCCATCCTCAATTACACAGATATGAGCTGGGGATTTGGGCACTGAAAACAAGGGAACAATGCTAGTAGTATCATGTTGAATCCATCAGTTTGGTACCCAGGGTGTTACAGTAATCAGACTCTTGAAACACATGACTTCACCAAAGTTTGGTTTTGTTATTGGCTCTACCAAAACCCAACCCATGCTCAACTCATGATATGGATTGCTGTGTAAATTGTGTAGCTTTGAAACCTTGTTTTAGAAATAATGACTTCAAATATGGAGAGGAAAACCTCTGAAATGCAGGGACCTCTTATACAACCGGTTTGTAACCATCACCTTTGAATTAAAAAATAAAAAAAATAGATGTGACATGATGCTAATGCTAACAATCACTGACCGCAATAGGAGTCTGCTCCTGGAGTAAACACCTAGAAGCTGTATGTAAAAATAAAAGTAACCCTGACAGTGCTTATAGAAACAAAGATAGAAAGCCTCAGCTACATACAGGAAAAAGGGCAAATTTGGTCATTTACGAAGGCAGTTAACCTGTTGCTTTAACAGAATCAAAGGAGATATAAGGCAGAAAACAAGCACTTTGCTGGTAATAAGTAGCACCAACTGTTATTGAAACCTAATTTCTGAAATGACACGAGTAAACACTGCTCAAGGTGCATTCCCCCAGTATAGCCTAAGATCTATCAAGAGGAAAACCACCCAAATAAAAGTCAAACCACTGAGAAGAGCGATATGTTTGAAATAAAAACTAGTGGTGGAAAAACATTTGGACAGGCAGTTGGCAAAAGTTCAAGTGAACATAATGTGATAGTAAATTAAACATGAGTAAAATGTTGGCATCATGGGATTTTTGGCACATTTCTCATGTTTTTATACCATAGCTCCCCCTTGTGCTGGAAAGCTGTTCACACACAAACACATTCCTTCAAGGCCCTTAAATCCATCTATTGCACAGATCAATGTAGTCTAGAATCAAAAGCAAACCTAAAGTGGGGAGAACCCCTAAAATAAAACTAAAATGTGAAATAAATTAAATAAAAGCAAGTCATTATTGCATATAAATGCAACAAACTTAAAATAAGGTGGCAATGTTTACAGTACAAAAACATAGTGCCAATGTGAACAAACAAATCCCTCAGTGACAAAAACAAGAGAACAAAAGATAATGACCAACACACAAAAAAGAAACACTTAGTACATTCAAACAAGTCATCACAGTTTAAGCACTTGAGACAAGGTCCGTTTTGTGCCGTCACACCAAAAACATCAAGTCAGCGTTGCGCTGCATAGGTAGGAGAGTAGTGCTTCGCTTCAGTCCAGAATACAATTCGCAGATGATAGTCAAAGCTGTAAGAGCTCTGAATCAAAAGCGTGCTAATAGGGAGTTGCATTCAGAAGACCAAATGAAAAAGGCCCACAACTTTGAGAGAGACCAGGTTTGACAAACCAGTTCAGTACTATGGCACGTGATGTTCTTAGATGTTCAAGTCCCACGGAACTCAATACTTGACCAAACTTTAGCTGCTGGGAAGTGACACTGGTGAGAAGACTCAGTCTGGGAATCAGTAATTACTCATTCAACTCAAAGTCTGTGCTGGTGTACATCAAATTTAGAGGAAGGGCTCTGACTAGCATCAGACTGATGTAACAAAGTGACCACAGTTAAGCATTTTACAGTCTTCCTTCTCCTGCAACAGCCTTGTAGCATCACTTGGTGCTTGCACAATGCTAGCAGGGATCGATCGTTCCAATTCCAGCATGATGTAGGTGCATGAGAGCCCCCTACAAAAAAACAGGTATAATGAATCATTCACGGCTTCTCAACTCAAAGACTCATGATGGGCTGAGTGAGGCCTTCACTTCTAATACAAGTAATATCAAATCTTGCGCCTTCAGTTTCTTATCTACTCTGGTTGAGAGCTGGAAGATTGTCCCTCTTCCTGCGTCGCCAGGTGTTACGGTTGTACTGATGCTGGTTCCTGAAACCCGGTGCTGTGTTATGACCCTGTGGAACAAACCGCCGCTGGGGACTGAAGTTACCTTGAGAGTGGTTTTGACCTCGGACGCTGCCACCTTGGTTGTGCTTGAAGGTAAATTTGTGCGGTTCGATAGAGCCATGGGAATTTGATCTTATGGTGTAAGTGTGGCTCTGCTGTCCTCCTATCTGAGGGTGGTGGAGCCGGTGGAGGGGGCTGGGGAGAGGGCTTGTGGAGTTGGTGTGCCGGGAGATCTGTGCAGCTTGTGATGTGTGACTGTGCACAACACTGATTGAAGGTGGATTCTCATGATAGAACTGGCAATCAGAGAGGGAGGGGATGGTCAGGTTTTCTGGGAGGGACATCTGGACCTAGCAAAAAATGAGAATATGCATAATGTGTATGAATGTGTGAATTTTGCCCAAATTTTTTTTTGGGTTGAAATTCCAAGGCAGTATTCTTTATGGTCATGTTTCTTCTGACACCTATGAGGTGAAAAAAAAAAACAACAAAAAAAACAAACAAAAAAAAAACAAAACACTAACCTGAGGTGTGGCATGGATAAAGCCTGCTGGATGTGTAGCCCTCAGGTCTGTAGCCAACTGGATTACTGGATGGACTGAGGCCAGGGTGAGGGGGTGGAGTTGGATAGCAGCATTACTGCTCGGAGGAGAATCAGACTCCTGGAAAAAGACACACATAGATTAACAAAGTTAGTCAGTCAAGCACCTCAACTATGGACAAGTTATGGAAATCGAGGTGTGTCACTGTGTTGCCACACTTGTCATGAACCACTGATTTAGTAAATGTTTGAACGGTCAAAACATCCTTTGGCCTTACTATGTCACTTCCAGAGGAGGAGGAGAGCGAGCATGCCGAGGATGACGACGAATGGTGTTGAGGACTGGGAAGGAAGACTGGGGAAGGTGAGGGGGAGTCAGCACTGAGGGGGGAGCAACTGTCTCTCTGATCCTCCACAGAAACCAGCATCAGCCTGGCAAGGTCCTGCTCACAGGTCTCTACATCTAGGACCAAACAGAAGACTACTGTTGAAAAAAGTTTGAATTGATTTAACAGTTTGTCAGTAGAGGATATTTACTGCATATCTGACTCATTAACAGATGAAAATCATTTTATTACTTTTTCTGGAAGCACCCCAAAATACAATTCCAGTCTAAATGTTACAGAAAATAGATTCAAATCCAAAGTTACCATGGTTCTCCAGCTTGGCATACTGCTTGGCTCCCCACTTTTTGATTGTCCAGTCCCTGTAGGCCAACACCTCTGGGCTGACTTTGATAATGCGCCCCAAAGTACTGCAACAGAGTAAGGTACAGTCCATAATGCTATCAAGATAAATGCAAAACTAAGAGTGTAAAACATTACAAAAGAAAAAAAACAAAATTTTCATGAAGAATCCAACCTGTCATACTCTTTGTTGGGGTAAGCACGTGCAAGAGGAGAAACTCCATGACTCAGCACCATGTAGGCAAAGTCAAACACCTGCTTGACCTGCAGGATGCCATATGAACTCCTGCCCACGTCATTTCCTGTGAAGATCACAAGATTAATCATTTAAATCTGCAAATTTAATCAGGAATTAATCAGAAAACTAAAATCACAAAGAAGGCAAACAATTTGAAAGCAGTTCAGATGAAGAGACTGGAAGGCCAAAGATAATCATTAGGTATAAGTTTACTCACATGTAACATACTCAACACAATGCATCTATCAACATCTGTTTATCTCATGTATAAATTGAGGAGTATTACAGTCTCTTCATCACTCCACATATATCTGAGATTTTTGTCTGCTGCTATTTTTCACCTCTTCATTGGTGTTGAAGCATCAGTGGATGTAAAAGTCAAATGCATCATGATTTATAAACTAAAGTTTCCATTGAACTTTCACGTAACTGTCTCACTGAAATTCAGTGAGACATTTGCTTCTCTTATTTTTCCACCTTGTTTAGTCTTTTTGAATCCGTTTTTCCATTTGTTTGCACAACAGAGCTTTAATATTAACATCTTTTTTCATTTCCCCCCTCCTATATATAAATATCCATATCCATAATTTCATATCCCAGTCTGACCTGGCTGAATTGGATCTTCGATGCAGAGCATGGATGGCCTGTTTCCATTCCCCATAGCTTTCAGCATTTCTTCCTTGGACAGGTAGGCCCCTCCATTCTTCACCCGGATGCCAGTCTTCATGTAGTTGAAATCACGGCTGTACAGTTCAAAGAACTCGATCAGCAGGATGCCCAGGTTGATGTTGGCACGTCGTGTGTCGATCCGAGGATGTAACTGATCAACAGGACAGGGAGAATTCATTGTCTTTACTTTATAACCACCTTTGTAACCAAACTCCAGCCAGTTTGGCTGAACTCACTGACCTCTTCATTGACATTAATCATCATTCAGACAGATACTGAGGAGTCGTGTGAACAATGACTTACACCACTTTATGTAACTGAAGTGAATTCCAAAAAATTTTAAAGGGAAATGTAATTATGCATTACATTTGCATATCAGGACGAGCACAAAATCCATTCTTTGCTTTTTTTTTTTTTTAAATTTTGCAATTATTTGAATACAACTTAGCATATTTCCCTCAAATAGTGACTGGGGCCTTTATTTACCTTAACCACAGAAGGTAACACACCTTCATTTGAAGTAGGTTTGTATTACAGGCCAGCTTTTATTTCTAATTCCCTCTGTTTGATAAGTATAATTGGCCATACCACAATTTTAGTACCAAGCTTCATTTTGACCTGTTCCCATTTGCCCTTTTAAAAGATGCCGCATTACGATGTTAATACAAACTCAGAGCTTCCTGTAAATGTTTCAGTTTCAAAGCCCTCTTGCATTTCTTAACAGGGCTTTTATTGTGAAAAATTTACAAGCATGCCATATGCAACAACAGCCGAGCGGGATTAAAGGATGACAGAGCAAAGTGGATCAGAAGGAAAGAATCAATTTGAACCCTGTAAAATATATTGGGTACATTTAATTGAAATATTCTATTAAAACAAAGTGTATAAGAGTAGACGACAGGACTGCAAGGCTGTCAAAACTCGTCAAAACTGGCCAGCAGTACCAGTACTTGCCTTCTAAAATTAGATTCTAAAAGTTAACTTGTAATCATTTCCATGTAAATATACACATACAATACGATCACTTTAACTTGTGTGGTATGACCAGTCACGTACTGGCAGGAAACATTATATAACAGGCACCATGAGTTTATCCACCCTTTGTTTTTTTTCCTTGTATATGGGGGCTGGCTTTTATTGTTCATGTTGACCATGCCCTCGGCCATTATTGGAGACCCGGCTTTTAACTGACTGCCAGCTTTTAGTTGAGGAAAGATAATAAAATATAAAACCTACATTACTTGTGTACACTGTTCTGTCTTGCAGATTCAACAATTTTGAAGTAGCAAATTGAGAACTTCTCAGCTTATTTGACTGGGATTTTTATGATAACTAAATCTGCAGTATTTTGAATAGACAGAAAAGAACTGAATTTATTACCAAGCCGAGTGTCACAACAATAAACATACATGTGTAGTATATGTACCTGCAAGAAGCTTTTGGCCATTAGTATAAGGCTATAAGAGCTGATGCCTCCAGTGAAGACTTCATTCAGATCCCTCTGGAGCAGGAACTGCTTCAAGACGAAGATCAGAGGTGGCAGAACAGTGTACTTCTACAAAACACAAAGACAAATATAAGAAACAAACCAAAAGAAAAATGCTGCATTTGTGTTGAAAATGTCAAGAAAAAAGGGCTGACCTTAAGATAACTTTTAATGAACTGCGCGGCTTTCACTGCAGTTTCTACATTGAAGCTGATGTCCACTTTCACCTCTGTTTGATGGTCAGTAAGCTTGATGATTGGCACCTGGGAACAGGTCAAACAGTCAACTGTAATCAATCCACAGGTAAGAATCCCACCAACATTTCATGATTCATGTTGAGATTACTGACATTTTTTTGTTAAGCCACTGTTCAGAACTTCAGTTAGCTTTAAACATTAAACAAACAGTTTGGGCCAAAAATTAGAAGCTACTCATGCTGGGACTTACTGTAGCTTTGTCGAGGACCTTGATGGGATACGGGCCTGCTACATTGTGTTTCTTCAGGGCTTGTTCCAGTTCCTGCAGTGGAGGATGGTCCCACTTTCCAAACACCACCAGGTCAATGTCACTAAGAACAAAAACACAAAGCACTTTGCACTCTAAGAAGTTTATTTCCCCAAGTATCCTGTCGACACACAGCGCGTAGTGATGTGCCTGTCACCAAAAACACAACATTAGGGCCTGGTTTTATGCTGTTAAACTACTTTGGAACTTTGGAAATGTGTACAGTTCTGTTTTGTACACTCATGCCACTGAGCCAAATATGTGGGTGGAAAGGTTGTGCAAGCATAATGTGATGATTTGACAGATGAAGACTTTCAGAAGAAGAACAAGATACAAGGAAAGAAAGGGTACCTTTTACTGCAGTAAATGAACATTTATTTGTCTCTTTAACTGAACAAATGGTTCTTGACCAGCTATGACCTGTGAGCTCTTGACCTCTCTATGCACCATTTCTTTTGAAAGACTGTGAAATTATACAAAGGACACTGATGAAATGATATAGAAAGAAGGGAAATTAGTTCATGATGTGGTCATCTTAAAGACACAGTACTAATTCATAATTAAATATGTTGTCGATCATGGAGTTTAGCCCAAATGAATGAGTGAGTAACAGTAGTGTGATGTTGAAACAGCATGGCATTAAACAGCTGACTTAAAAGTATCTCCATACTATACTCCATAAAAATTGCTGTAATTACTGCTAGACCAGTCCATTAGGAAATAATGAATCAGTTTCAGCTACTGAACAGCAACACTTTTACTGAAGGTCTGACAAAACATACCCTTCCAAACGTAGCACTCCCACTTCCTTAAAACAAACATGATGGGGAAACATTACAAAAGAAGCCCGATTAGACTGTGCAAGAAAAGCACAAAAACAAATGTTACCTTGTGGGCAGATAAAGTCCTGTGCTGAAGCTGCCAAATATCTCCACCTGCAGAGCAAGACAAATTAACACAGGCCTTATTTAAGTTGTGACATATCATTGTAACCATTACCAGCTTGATATTTTTGCAGTTGACCTTTATGTATGTAGGTGGTTTGAACATGTCAGAGGTTTAAAGTAGTGTTTAGCTTCACTATTCAGTATTTGTTTCGCACAAATAGCAAGATCAGTCTGCATGTGTACTGCCTGGTGTGTTTGCTGAATTCAACAGGTCAGGAAAAGAACATGAGTAGCTAAACAAACATTTTTGCTTATTCTTTCAAAATTGGGGTTTTTGTCAAGCTCTTGCACTAACCAAGCCTATGAGCTGTACAGAAACTTTACTTACATAATCAAATTCATACTTGTTCTGTGAAATTGTATGTCAAAACGACCTCACCTGTGAATGCTGCATGAAAGTAGGAATAGCTTTCTTGCTAGCAGCATGCCAATAATTGAGAAGGGGTTGCTATGCTAACTCAGGATTACCAATGTCATAAATGGTTCTCAAAATAATATAAAACTACAGATTAAATACTGCAGGTGGATAGCAGCGGTATCACATAAGGGGAAAATATCAATTAAACATTTTCATGTCACACAAAACATTGACTTTGCCCAGGTCAGTCATAGCCGGATGGGTAGACATGAGTTTAATACTCTACATGTTAGTTTAAAGTCTCTGAAATACTATGAAATGCCTAACGTCAGGTCAAAATATCACACAATGATCCCTGTAGAATGGGGCTGTGTTATATTCTGTATGGTGATATTAGAGATTATTGCTGACTGTATAGGTTTACCTTTCAGTTGGACAACCTTATTTTCTGGTCAGTGACCAAAGCCCACTACATACATTAAACATTTGTATTGCCACAGCTCGGAAGAGTGACACAAAATGGCCTTTAGAGAAATGAAAAAAAAAAATCCAATTCCCAGTGAGGTCCAGTGGGACTTCTGTGGGCCAGAATTAGTTCAAGATGTAAACAAAATGCAATTTTTTATAAAGTACACTGACATTCTCCTGGCAATATAACATGGAAAATAAGTGATTAATGTTACATTGGGAATAAAAGTGACATGATTAATGATTATATAACTGGCCAACTTTGTTTGGACATGTAGTACTAGGCTGTTGACTGCATAAAAGCATGGCCAAACAAGATAGTGCAGTAACCTTCAGACATACAGCCAGTACATACAGGCTAGCTTTACAAGACAATAACATTGATTCATACAGTATATAAATAGCTTTGCAAAGTAATTTACAAAGCAATAAGCAAGAGTCAGTGCAAGACATAAAACAATGAATTAAGAGCCAATGTTACATAATGAAAACGAAAGACAATGAAAAATCCCATTGAAGAAATGTAATTTAAAATGTGTTTTAAAGTGTGGAAATGTGAGTCCTGGATAGGGACCAACGCAGCAAAAGCTTGTTCTCTTGTGTACTGTCTTTGTACAATCCAGCTCATAAGGGGTTAAAACATTTGATATAGCACCAGTAAAATCCAAACCTGGTGCCTCTGCATGTTTTGTTAAAGCATTGTTTGTCTGAAATGGATTTATACACTATATTCTCTTGACAGTAAAGGCACCAATTTATCAGGTACACCTGTAAAATCTGAAGGAATCCAATACAGCAGCCCTGCAATGAGTCTCACGCTTTCTAAAGCTAGTAACACACAGTTTAAATACAGTCTATGGTTTAGACAGTGTGTCGTAGAAGAGGTAATTCATTGCATTGCTAATCTTTCTGATTCATGTAGGTAAATGGGAGAAAACGCCATATTAGACACATTATACGTCTCAACATAAAGCAGTCCATTACAACACTCACTTACCTACTGTATCAGAGTTGAATCATCAATTCTCTGACATAGTATCAACAGAAACATATTATTCAAACTTATTCCCTGACAATATTATTCGCTTCACAAAGATGAACTCAACCAATAAACTGTTAACTCTATATCAAGTATCAAATGCTAGAAACCGATGTTTGCAAAGTCTTATCTGTTCAAAAATATCTGAAACATCTAGTTGACTATTGCTCAAAGATAAAAGAGAGCTTGTGAAGTTAAGGACCATGACAAAGTCAACTCCGTCTGAAGAGGCAAACATTATACCGAGCCTTGTCCAACTTTGGCAAATGAGGGTTTGGGTTCAATACAGGGCTAAGGGTACAGACCAGCATGGCCTCAAGAAATGAGCATTGTGGTACACCTCAATTTAAAAAAAATCTCAAGACAGGTCAGTGTCTTTATACACTATGTAGGCCAGAGTGGAGTGCAGCTCCCATGCACAAGACTCACAGCCTGAGTTACCTTTCCAAGTATCTGCACAGGCACATGACTATCCTACTCACCCGTGCCGTGGGCCACAAGTCCTTGATGACACTTTCTATTCTGTTCACTACGTCTCTTCTCATGGCCTCCTCCTCTGGTCGTGGGGACATGAAGTTGAAAAAGTCCATTATCTCTTCATGCAGACTGTAAGAAAACATGGGAAAAACGACATGTGGGATCATGGATTCGTACACCACAAGAGAGAACAAAGTGAGCACTGTATGACTAAGAACTGTGCTGCTGGATGTATATGAGAATTCATGTGGAAAATACAACGACGTCTGATACAGGGTATGGAGTTAAGGCCTACTGAAGTCTATACTGCAGTTAATACACAAAACCATATGGAAAAAGCATATCAAAATGTATTCATGCATCACATACATTACTTAATATTAGCACAGGTATTTTTGTGAAATACTTAAATTGGATGCAAATTAAATAAATCAAAGAAACAAGCGGACATTTTCCACTGCTCATTTTGATGGTTGACCTGGTGGGATTCTGTACAGAACCCCATGAGGTCCCCAGACCTCACTTTGAGAACCCTTCTTTGACTAGAAAAAAAAAGCCTCTCCATATCTCCTTACCCATTAATGCCCGGGCTGTACCGCCTGGTTTTCCACAGGCTACAAGAAGAGTCTATATAGTGTCCATTGCAGCCGTAGGACAGGAGCGGGTTGATGCCGTGGAAAGTGTTGGCTCTGTTCAGATGCCTCCTGCGGCCGGATGAATGTGACTGATAGTGGTGGTACTTGTTCCCATGCTGATTTTTCATCCCCGTGGGGGTGTGGCCGTTTGGTTGTTGCATGCTGCGACAGTGTTGCTGAACAGTGTGAAAAGGCGGAGGGGGATATTGCTGTCTGAGATTGTTCTCGTTTAACTCGTGCTCGCCATAGTGTAAAAAGCGGCTGGCCTCCTCTGCAACGTTCAAATTGTCGATCTGCAGAGAGGAGCCGGAGGGCGAGGAGCTCTCGGCCTCCGAGTCCAGAGAGGAGGAGGACGGCGACAACGAGCCCTTCCTCCGGACACTTCCCCTGTCTCCGCCGCCGTCTCGCTTCGGCAGTTTCCCAAACACAACCCCCGGCGGCGGTGCTACATTTTTGCAATACTCGCCGTTTGAGTCCGTGGAGTTTGAATTTTGCGCTGCAAAGTTGCGTTGGTGGTGAAGGTGGTTGTCGATGCCGGAGTTTGCTCCAAATCCCTGAGAGGTTTCCCAAATGTGCATCCACAGGGAATTGGCAGGTCCCTTCTGCTCCGGCTGGATCCAAGCGGTCCTGGGATCCATTGAACTCGAGTTCACCGAGAACCTCTTCACGGTAAAATGGCGAGCAATTTAGCAAATTAAACACGTTGCACCGAAGGAAACAAATAAATCCTACTGCGCTGATTTACTTGCTATCCTCGAAGTGCTTCATGTCCGGAAACTGGTTTGGTTTTTCAAGCGGCTTGTCCAACTCCACTCCCCATGTAAGTCAGCCAATATGGCGCACCCAGCACCACGGATCAGCGTCTACGCATGTCTGAGGGATTTAAATCTTTGAACACACCCCTCAGGACCGAGAGATGCGTCAAGTCAGCCACACACAGGGCGGAAAAACCGGAAATTAAAGTATTTAATTTTTGCTTTTGTGTAAGATCATATCAAACAACACACCGAAGACAAAATGCCAAAGAATTATGTATTATGTATATATTTATGTATGTATTATGTAATTGTGCAATTCTCCCAATGCTTCAAATTTAATCTTTCAAACGTAGCTTGGGCTTTTATTTTGAAGGCAAGCCCCAGGAATGATGGTTTGACCACTTTACAGAGATGAGACAGTAGTAGTAATTTGGCTGCATCATTAGTTGCTGTCTTTATCACATTTTTATGACTATTGATGCTGTGGTAAATGACTGAGAGCCAAAATGTTTATCGAACAGCCAAAAATATGAATATGAAATCTGTTTTTTCCAGCAGTTTTTAGGTATCACCAAGCTGATAGATGCATATTAGGCCATTATATGACATTATAGAGAGCTATTTAAAGAGAGGCAGATGAAGAGAGACTGCACCAAAACAGTTCGTTTGTTTCAATATGTGAAAATTTTAATTTGAACAAAATTAAATAAACTCTGAAACTTTAAACTGTACAAAACATTTACTGTGGCAATCTTATTTTTCATTAATACAAACTTTAACACCTCAATATTTACAAACATTTGAATCAGAAAACATTTACAGCAGCACCCTGTTACATCAGAATATATATGTACATGTTTTACAATATTTTAGAGCGTTACCTGAGTATAGCAGACAGGCAGGAAGTCATACCAGTACATTTACAGGGTGTGGACAGCTAAAAAACTTTACAAAACCAAACTTTTGATGTCTTTTACATTAAAAATTGAGGAAACATTTGCTACAAAATTGGAGAACAGATGCATTTACCTAACATGTTCATTTTATAGTAGAAGTGCACATAAAAAAACAAAAAAGCTAATGTTTAAGCTGTTTAAATGTTTAAACTCTGACCTTAAGATTTACTGCGAACCTTCAGACACACTGTATGAGGAAGAGTCACTGTTCATGTGCACAAATGGTAAACAGCTCCATCGTGGGCTGCCAGTCAGCAAGTTAAATGAATATTGAGGTGCATGGTGGGATCTTCATTCTCCCTGTCTTTGACATAGGTACAGATTTGCATGTGCATGTGGATTTGTACAGCATGTGTGTCATCCCTCAGCTCTTGACCTGTCTACAGATAGAGGCTAACTGGTTCATGCAGCTATTAACAGCAGGAGGCACGCTCTGAGACGTTTCTTCTCGCCACGCTGCAAGGGCGTCCAGGGCTTGTTTGGGGTTGCAGGGAGACAGCTCGTAAATGCAGTAGACAGCTGCTAACTGGACCTGCCATGGCACACCTGGTGAGGCAAGACATGATAAGATTAGGGCGTGCAATGGAAATTCATCTGCTGGATGGTCCTTTCTCTTTCACATCAGGATGTCAGAGAATTATTTATATTTTTATATATATTTTTTAGTTTATTTGGCACAACTCTATGAATATGAAATGAATACCAATAAGCAAGTCTACTTTAACACGGCAGGGTGAGATAAAATTCTGGACTCTGCTTAAATACACATGGGCAAGTCTTTGTATGACGACATGTAAAAAAGATTAACTTTCTCAGCACACAATGGAGTTGTATTAGTTAGAGGCAAACTGAACCAGTATGTAGTCTCCAAGATTTCTCATGTTTCATACCTTCAGTCTGTCCATGCCTAACAAACGTGTTGATGACATTAGCAACAGTTGTCACAGAGGAAACACACCTCTCCTTGATTCCCAGATGACCGAGGTATCCTATTTAAAACAAAAAGACAATGAAGTTCCCCGCTGTCTTCTGGTGATTAAAAAATTACACATCACTTCAGATTATTGTTAATAACCAGAACTGACCTATGAGTCGGAGCACAGAGGCGACAGCTACATTAGAAACAGGTGTTTGTTGATCTCTGGGCTGTGTCACCCATGTGTTCATTATTGGCCACAACTCCTTGCTGTCAAAGTAAAATGAACAGATAAGCACAGGTACACGCTGCTTGCTTAAAAAATTGATCATTTCTACAATAAAGTTTAAAAAAATTTTTTATGTTCAGTATTGGCAGACAACTTTGATTTAAATAACATCATTATGCACTGTAGGTTCACATCAGAAAACATAACATACCCCAATAAATTGTCATAGGTCCACTTCCAATCCTTTTGTGCACAAAGGAGGTGCAGTGTGAAGACAAGTTCCCAAGCCTCAGCCCCCAGGTCAAACCCGTAACGACTGTGTTGTGTGAAAGACAGATTTGTCCCCGACTGAAGAGCAGACAGTGCTCTGGAGATCAGCTGGTCGATGTCACAGGGAGGACTCTGCAGAGAAACAGGGAGATTAGGTCTTTGAGGGTCAACTGTATTTTATTTGAGAGGACACAGATGGGAAAGATGGGCAAGAAGAGATAATGTGATAAAGATAATGAACTAACTCCAAACTAAGGTCACACAAGTTTAGAAATGAACCAGTGCTCAAAGCAAACACGCCCATTAAGTGCCTAAAATTCCATGGACATTAATAAAAATGCAGAGTTAAAAACAATGTAATAAGTGTAGAACCTCATCTGTAAAATACCTTTTCCCAACCAAACAATGGTGACAGGCAGCTGAGAATCTCTTCCTGTGCTGTCAGTTTGGTGACAGCATGTATGGCCTGGCACAGCAAACTACTGTGCGAGAGAACACTGGGCCATGTTGTCACCATAAACAAAATCAGCTTGGTAGAATCTGGGAAATCTACAGTGAGAAAGACAGAATGCAAAAACTGTCAGCAAAACCCATAATTTTCTACTTTCAGGTGGAAAACATTTGGGAAACACTTACATGCATATAGCAAAAGTGTGTAAAGGCTTTTGAGGAATACAGCATGAAATAAATTGCTAACCTTCTGTGAGAATGCTGTACGCCAGTATGCGAGCCTTCTCCCAGTGGTTCCTCTGTCTACAGATGCCTGTGTAGACTCTACAGAGGGCCTGCATGTAGTTTCTACTGAGGTCCCTTTTCTCAGTTTTCAGTTTAATCAGAATGGCCATGATCATATCATCTGCCTTGAGTTGAAAAGAAGAGAAAAAAACGTTAATTTCACATGAAAACCAACTTACTGACTTTTGAAAACAACACACTTTTCTCACTAATAAATGCTAATGACAGTCATTTGTCTTTACATATACAACCTGCTTGCTTTATTCAACCCATTGTGGTTGCATTAATCTATTACTGCCTTCATACAAAGACTGTGCCAACTGTGGTTCTCTCTCTTTTTCTCTCTTTATTCACTTTACGACAACATACAAATGGGAATGAGCTAATTCTGTCAACGAGAATACAATCTTTAGCCAAAAAAAAAAGAGTGTTGTAGCAATTATAATTACTTGATTGTCTTGTTCCATCTCTGTTATCGATAAGGATTGATTACACGAAACAGAGTTAATGACATGAGCACAATAAACCAGCATACTAACCAAGCTGCTCTGGCAAATCTCAGAGATGACCTCCTTCTCCTCATCTCTCAAGACTGGCTTTTTGGGGAGGGTGCCAACATACAGGTGGCTCTGGATCACAGGCAGTAGATCAAAGCACTTGTTTTCAATTTTCTTTAAAGCGCTGACTACAAGATTCTGCTCTGCAGGTTCTCCAACTTGCATGGGCCGAGATGGACTTTTGAGCTGTTCGGGCCTCAGAGTTTGGGGTGAGGTGGCTTCCTCTCCACTGTTTGACGAGCAGGAAGGTAGCTGCTCGTGACTGACTGTGGGAGAGCAGCTGTCAAGCCTGGGACATTTGTTGTTTTTAAGTTGAGGCAAACTGTTGGCCTGTCTTTTTCCTCCTCTTGTCTCAGTCTTGGTGAATGCTGTTGAAGTAGAGTTGATAGTTTTAAAGCCAGACATCTGACTGTCGGTTGTTGTGGGTAATGTTCCGCTCTCTGAAGAGCAAATGCTGAGACTGACGTTCCCTCTGAGGATGCTCAGAGTTCGGGCGCGTGCAGAGAGCTCTGGATACATGGTGTCAAGAATCCTCATGGAGTTTTCCTGAGAAGGACTGGAGGAAGAGGAAGGGGAGGAAGTCATTGCTGTTAGGGGCAGGCGACCTGGGACCGGCACAGCATGTTTTGGAGTAGCAGAGCCAAACTGAAGTGGCGATGAGGGGACTCCGTTTGAAGGGAGTGGACTGTTTAGGGATGAAGAATTCAGGTGCTGACTGTTCGGGGTCATATGGGTCAGGACAGGAGTGGTAGGAGAAGCCAATCTATCCATGGGAGAGGGAAAAGAGAGTTTCCCAATAGCCTGCCTTGGATTGATTGATTTTCCCGCTTTTGTTGGGGTACTCAGAGGGGTTAGGACAGGAGGGAGCGGAGGGCCCATTTCAGAGCGAACTTGACCTATGAACTCTGTTTTTTTATCTGTAGCTGAAGCTGCTGCTGGACTAGCTTCTTCCTCTCTGATCAGATGTGAGCTTTGTTTTTCAAGCACTCTTGTACCTGCCTCCAAACATTTATTTTGCCCATCTTTGGCCGCAGTAGACTGAATTAATGAGGTAGTACAACTTGTGTCTATTCTGTCCTGAGGGAAGTCTTTGACAACAACCTTTTTAATTACACCATCTTCCTCTGGATTAGGCACAGTTTTTTTGTTTGTTGAAAAGTGTTCAATTTCATCAACAACATTCAATTCTCCTGGGTTTGGGCGAGTTTCCAATGCCTGCAGTTTTACGGTGGGTAACAGACATGAAGGACTCAACCGCCTGCACATAGAGTGTGTATTTTCTTTCATGGATTCACAGTTAACAGTCGTCGTCTCTTGGATGTCAGAAAGGGAAGGCCCATGATCAGCCACTGTTTCACCGTTCAATGTCTCTGTGTCAACTTTCTTTTTTGAAGGAGTATTTTTAACGTTTGCTTGAGCAGATTCTTGGCCAGCATGGCCTTTGTCTGCATCTTCCATCTTTAACAGTGAAAATATTTGAGGTGAGGGAGGTCTAGTACCACGAGACTCTGGGGAAGAATGTGTTTTATCAGCTTTCGCAGTTCTTTCTTCTTCATTACTATTTTCCACCTCAAGAACTTTTAAGGATCCATCATTTTCAAACCTCTCTTTAACATTTTTATTTGACACACTACTGAAGCTGTTACTGCTGCTTGATGAACAAAGGTTATCTTCCGGCACCTCTGTGTCCTTGTCAAGAGAAAATGTAATCTCCTGCGGCTTTACGACAGTGGCATCTTCACCCTCCTGTCTCAAACAACAAGGATCCTGCGGACTTTTTTCAACTTCTGAGCCATTTTCTGTATTTGAAACCTCAGTGTCTTTCACAGAGTCAGTGATTGTTGAGGATACGTTTCCTGCTTCTTCACAGACTAAAGTGTTGTCCCTTTCTCTGGGCGACTCTCCATCATCAGGAGGGACTGTTTTGGCATGTGTAACATCACTAGGGTCTGTGTCTACATCCATCTTTGTAACAGTCTCTGACTGATCATCATTTGCCTTTCCTAAAACATTTTCAGTTTCTGGGATGCTGCTGGCAATGTTGCCACTTGGATTTGCAGTGTAGGATGGTTCTTGACTTTCATTAGTTAACGAGACAGCCTCAACCAAAATTGTATTGTCTGATGTGGAAGAAGATGCTGACAATGCTGATACTAATTGCTCAGTTCCTGTCTCCTGCTCAGTTTGCATGTCTTTTTGAAGATGCATTTCTTCACCATCTACAGTACTTTTGTCCTTCATCTCAGTAATGCTGCTCAACTCATTTTGTCCTTTGGAGTCATTTTCATCAGAAATGTGTTCCACTTCGTGTGCTGTGACAACTGGCGAGTCCACATTCTCCTCTGCTGGAAGTGCAGAAGAGCTTTGGCCGTGACTTGACACTGATGTTTTGATGAGTAAGGACGCCTGTTGTTGAAGAGGAACAGAATCGTCAGAGGGTTTGGGATGATTTTCCTTTTTTCCATCATCTGTCTCCATAGTTTCCATCTCTGTATCCTGAAAGAAACAAGAAGAGAAGGATGTAATTTAGAAGAATTCCAATGACCACCACAGCATGTGAATGACAAAGCTAACCAGACCTGTGCTTTATTAAAATTACTACAAAAAGGCTAAATCTGTCATTTGTTACCATATAAATTTACAGGATTATACAAATATAATTAAACAGTTAGTTATACAGCAGAAATTCTCAATTGATTGTAATTCTAACTCCAAGTTTTTGCCATACTGTGCAGTTGAAGTTTTTAAATCCTATAATCCTAAGTAAAAACATAAAAAAAAAAATAGTGACCATCGCAGGGTTAGTAGTAGTAGTTGACACAAACACACATTTTGGAAAGTGAATTTACATTTTATGTTCTGACTTTTCTTTAAATTATTCATTCATTCATTCATTGTGATTATTAGAATTCTTGCAATGTACAAAATAAAAAAACACAGCAACTTGCACTGGCTTAACGATTGAAAAACATCAACAACAACAACAACAAACATTAAATATAACCAAAATCTCACCAAGTCTGGTAGTGGTGATATGCAGGAAAGCATCGGTTTAAACATTTCCATGATCTCTTTAACGGATACTTTGGAGCTGCCCAAGTCAATAGATGATTCCTCAGTTTTGTGTTCCTTGGACAATTGGTTGCTCTCTTTGGGATTGTCTGGTTGCTTCTTGCCACTCGAGCACTGGAGAGGTGCATGGTGCTTGATGGTTTTCTGTGCATGAGGAAAAGGTTTTAACTGTGTGTAAGTGGCTTTTGCCTGCGTGAGGAAACTGTGAGAGTCACTGATGTCTTGAGAAGCACACTGGGACATGTTTCTCAGTTGAGAGTACAGTCTGTTTGATGGAGAGGAGGGTAGAACTTGCTTGGATTTTGAGTATGACTCTGAAAAAGAAGATTGCATACATTCTATGAGTAAAATTGTGAAAAAAAGACAAACAAAATCAAAAATAAGAAGTCACTGCTGCTAATTAATAACTGCAGCAGAGCTGACTCACTTGATGATACATCACCAGTGAAGTGCAAAAGGTTTGCTGAGTGCTGCTGCTGAGGTTCCACACATGCCCACAAATTCTCTAGCAGCATCCGGAATTTTTCTGGAAACACACACACACAAACAAACATTCACACAATGCAATGGTAAGAATTACTACAAAATGATTTTAGGGTTAATTCATGTGATCTGCTTGTCAAACACATGTAATAAGTAAGTGAAGCCAACTGCATACCTTTGTCAACTTTAGGCTCCTCGGGTGATGTTGCTTGAGTTGATATGCTCCTATAGTCTGTTGAGAAATAATTAAGTTATTAATTTTATTTATCTTTTAATGCAACCAATATTTTAAAACTGAACTTAAATTTAATTTGATGTTAGAAAAAAGATCCTGCAGTTATTGGAAATAAACATTTCATAGCTAAAATTAGATCAAATGAACTGGGATATACGGTAAACCATTTTTTCCTTTTTACTGGGGCCTTTGAAACCCAATTAAAAAACATGTGAAGTTTGATCATTTGGAAGAATTTTAGCTATTTTCTTATCTACTGAAAAGCTAATGTCCTGAAGAAAAAAAAGACATTAAACACTGTATTTGTACTGCTTTTTTTTTTTTTTTTTTTTACCTTTATTCCTTTCTCTTTCCAATTTCAACAGTCTCACCTGCAAATGAATTGAAATACATAAAGAAAGGTTAGTTCAATAGTGTAAAATAATATCTCCACCAATTTGTTGACCATAAAGGTCTTTACTGCACCTGGAGATCATCAATATTCCTCTGTAGTAGGATCTTCTCTTTGGTCAATTGGGTTATTTGATGATTCTGTTTGCAAACTGAGTCTGAAATCAGGACAAAAACATGCATAAATATGCATCATTAAACCAACAAACAAGCTTTGTCATATAAACCAGTCAATTCAAGATATCTTTGTGAACCTAAAATCGTTGTTTATATTGTGTGAAATCTCATTTTTAATACCAACCTTTGAGCAATCTGACTTTATTTTCAAGGTTGTCCTTTCTGTTTAAGATGAAAAAAAAAAAAAAAAACACATGGAAACATTTAGTATAGTTGAAATTATTTTCTCACAAACAAAACAAGTTAAACAACAAACCATAAATTTATCAAACAGATAATTAATATTAATAACCCGTAATATAAAAACACAGACGGACATGAAAATGGTTGATCTCTAATTTAGATTTAAGAAACTACATCTCTAATGCAAGACTGAGTTCTTACATGCTTGTTGTCTTGGCATTCTCCTCTATCAGTTTTTCAACTTGATCTGCTTGTGCCTGAGATTGCTTCAGAGATGTCTGAAGACGTGAAAAGACAAAGTCACAGAAATTATTAAGTTTTCTGAGCTACATTTTGGCAGTTGTACAAAAAGCTCCTGACGGTCCAGTATCCAGGGTTAGTTATGAGATTAAAACAAATTCATATGACTCAAGCCTATCAAAGGAGACAACTTTTTAATTGCTTACCTGTGTTTTCAGCAAACCATTTTCTACTTCAGCCTTTTCCCTCTTCAGCTGTGCATTTTCAAGTGACTGTGTTTCCGTCAGTTCTACAAGTTTGAAAAACAAAATCAGATGTGTATTCACACATGCATTTTATTTAAAATGATTATTATTATTATTAATAATAATAATGATAATAATAACATTATTTGCAATCTATGTTAAATCTTTACTGGATTAAAGTTAGTGTGTGGCTGCAAAGTACCTTTCAGATCCTTTAACTGCTCTGCAAGTTTCTTATTCCTGAAGGACACAAAACATAGTAGTTATCATTTTATCCATGCAGATACTACCTATGATCTGCACTATTATGATTATGAGTGGCACCATCTCTTACTCTGCTACTGTCTTGCTGTTTTCCTGCTTCACTTTTTCCATCTCTTCAGACAACTGTCCATAGACCTTAAGAGCACACTATAATAAAATAAATAGTGTGAATATCAGCATGACAAAAGAAAAAAAAAAAAAACACATCACATATTTTAAATGGGATTCTACAGAAAAAAAGGCATACCTTCTTTTCCTCCAGCTCTGCTTGCATAGATTCATAATCTACGGTTTTTCTCTCCAGTGTAACCAATTTGATCTGCAGCTCTTCCTGCTGTTGTTGAAGCCTGACAGTGTCACTGCATAGAACATGTTGAGAACATGAATGTGTTAATCCAGGTGCATGGAACATTGAAGAACATTTGACCGTTTGTATTGTCTGTGTGTGGCCTCATATAGCAACTATATCTTCACAGGTACAGTAGCCTATATGTCACTGACTCACTGTTGGTTGATTCTCGGTTTTTAAAGATAGGTTACAGCTGTCTCTATCTACTGATCAATAAAAGCAATATAGCTACATTATGTTTCAGGATAATACAATTAAGTTACATTCACACAGAGTCCGTTATCAAAGTAATATTGGGATAATAAGATAATTATTGAAAGTCTTATGTAAGTATTACTTAAGTATAACAAAACATACAAACAAGTCACAAACGCAAGCAGACAACAAATGTCTATAACTATACTGCTAGCCAGCTGAAAAGACAACGGAAAAGGCATAACAACGGTTAACGTTAGGGGAGTACAATATGGATGCATTCTTGATTATGATTACCACACAACAGTCTTCGAAGTGTAGCAGCATTTAGTAAAGACTTCAAAATAACAGTTAAAAAGTTGAAGCTGCGTTTATCCAGTTATGTCACTAACTTAAGATTTTACTGTATTACAAGGGAAATTTCTCATGGAAAAAAAACAGACGTTGAACGTTAATGAATCACTTTATAATTCATACGCTAAATTACTTTAAATTTACACCCGCTACCTGCTCTGGGCTCCGTATAAATCTCACTGCGAAACAAAGATGCTGTCTGATTGGTGATGTTTAAAGGATGAATTAATCAAACTGTCAAAGTTATAGTTACTTTAAGATAAAGTAGTTTCACAATGCAAAGTGTAAAAGTTAAGTGTCACTATGGCAACAACAACATTCGTTAATACTCACTCCGAAACCGTTATCTTCTGCTTCAGTGCCAGAAATGACGAAACATATTCGGTCAGGCTCTGAATGAAGAGATGGTACGAAACAAAACAAAAACAAACAGGGGAATTAATTTTTACCACCATGTTCACTTTAGCTGATAACATAAAAATATACGATCATGTCACAACCGTCGGACACTGTTTATATTCTGCCTTCTGACACAAAACACGATGGTTAATTGCCTTTTCTGTCATAGAAAGATGATCTGACCTGATGCAAAACAGAACAGTTCTGACAGTTTCCAACCGTTGCGTCCGCGGCGATTGCCACTGTTTTGGACTGACTGTCCCCTGGCATCATGGTAAGACAATTTTCACTGTAACCCTCACAGCCGTTGCCTTTTCTTGTATAAATTGACGACTATGTCTCCGTTACACAAATTTTACATCGGTCCAAAACAACTTCACATTTTCGCGTCTCCCACGTTGACCAAGGACCCAAGCCAGGACCCCACCAGGGCAGCTTCGTGAAATGCCGGTCAGGATAAAATTTCTAATTTCTTGATAAATTGTTAGCACATTCAAATTATGGCGTGTATTCGATCAAATATGAGTAATACAAGTGTAAAATTATGTGTTTGATTTTTCTGTCGGCCGAAATGGGATATTTGCTGTCATTCGGATTTTGCTTCAGGCACTGCATTATGGCATATGGGGGCGTTACCGCGAGAGCAGTTAGAAATACAAAAGGGCTACAGCATGTACCGGCCGGTCAGCAGGGGCATGTTCAGCTTCAGGTCGTGTACTCGCTGGTTAGTTTACAGTTCGACGGTTTTATTGTGTTTTCAACAAATGTTATACTTCTTACTTTCTTGTGCCACCCTGTGGTCCTCCCCAACTGTGTTCCCCTTTAGGTTTGAGGTTAAGGTTGGGGACAGGTTAAGGTGAAGGGAAACAGAACAAAAAGTAGGAAGTAGTTGGCATACCACACTTTTGCTAAGTTAAACACGTTTCGTTTAAGTGTTGAATTAGCTACCATTTGACCTTACATGTCACTACCACTGAATTGATTTCATAACTGTAACATTTATCGGTAAATGTATCTCTCCCTGGTGGTCTAGTGGTTAGGATTCGGCGCTCTCACCGCCGCGGCCCGGGTTCGATTCCCGGTCAGGGAACTACTTTTTGAGGCTTGAGAGAGACCTTACTGAAACTGGAGCATATGCTTTGAAATCCCTAACCACTATTTCTCTCTCTTCTTGGAAGACTTTCTGGAAGTAATATTGGAACTGTTGCAGAAATCTGAAATGCATACAATTGTGTGAACCCTACTTGTAGTTGAGTTGTGGCAAATGGTTCTCTATTTTCCTTCAGTGTGTTCATTGTCTTTCATTTCTATATATGGTCAGTAGAGGGTACTGTTGTACAGATTAACGTGTTCCTCCTTGCTAGCTCTCTCTCTCTCTCTCTCTCTCTCTCTCTCTCTCTCTCTCTCTCTCTCTCTCTCTCTAACACACACATGTGCACTCACACAGACAACTACGGTGCTGGAGTACAAGAATAAATTGCTTAAATAATGCTTCCTTCCTTGGTTTAACTTAAGACATACAAACATTTAAATTGGTGAGGTAAAGGTCAGACACAAATCATAAAGAGTTTCCAAACAACAACAAAACACAAATACATTAACTTTTAGGCAACAGTTGTAGTTTAATGTCTCATTTCCACTGCAATTGTGCCATGCTCTGAGAGCTGTGTTTGTACGCATTTACACTGAGCCATGCAAACCCTCAATATTATGGCCCTGTCGCCTGTCTTTGAAAAGCTCTGGATATAAACAGAGAAGAGTGTTCCAGTTTGTTGTGCTCCACAATGGTCCTAATTACTGTGGCAGCAGGATGTCCAATAGCTGAGAGGAACCATCTAAAGGTGCTGGGATATGCTGTAGGTGCATCCTGATGGAAAGGTAATAACCCTGTAACTTCAGATGAACCTTAGGAATATAGCCTCAAGGCTGAAGAGCCAACTCTCTCCAAACAGATGCAGTCAAAGATAGCATAGTTTCTTTTAAGTGAAAAGAGGAGTGTTGCGCATGCTTTCCTCTCTTCCTGTCTCTTTCTGACAGATAATCTCTTCTGTTAACTGACATGGGTTAGGTAACACTTTGCATGTTGCCAGATTTGTCTTGATCACCTTTCTTATCTGCAGGAAGCCTTTGTCTGAGCTCCATCTTTGTGTAAACAAAAATGCTTCATCTTCTTAATCCCTTTCTTATTGTGTAGCTGGATTTTCTCCTCTCCTCTTTGTTCCTTGTTAAACCACTGTAGCAAATTAAACAGTGAGGTGGAAATAAATTTGCTGTCTAATGAAAGTAAAAGCCACTGAAGCAATGCACTTTTGTTTATGCTAGCCTAATTACAGAAATAAATAGAGATAGTGACCTTTTAAGGTAATACAAAAACTGCTCACCAGTCAATCACAAAGCTAAGTCGCAATTAAAGTGACACAAAAACATGTGCACATTTAGATTCACACCTACAGCAGTTTAGGGTCTCTAATGCACCTGGACTGCATATCATTGCACTGTAGGAGGAAATGCAAGCAGACACCAGGAGAGGATGCAACATATGCCATATGCTAATAGACGATATTTTATGATTTCGCAGAGTAATATAATTTATTCATCATTGATATAGTTGCTTATTTCAACATAACTGTACCACTGTTAATAAGTGTAACATATTGTGAGAAAAGTTGGAGATTGTATATTATTGTGTGTAATTTTTTCTGAATGTTTTGTCTTCTCTCGATTGAGTTTTGACTTGACTGGGGTGCAAAGTGGCTGATGATAGTACATTCCAGAAGGGTGGGGGGTGGGAGGGGTGGGGGGGTAGAGTAATCTGATGCTGTGTGTGTGTGTGGTGTGTGGTGTTGCTTTTGTCAGCAAACTGACATTAATTAATAAAACTGTTTTGCATCTCTGAATGTCGTGCAGACATTCAGACATTAGCAAGTGAAAAAGATTTTTTTTAAAAAGCAGTGTGATCTTGGTGGCCTACATTTATTCAGCAATACAGTGTCTTACACACAAGCACACAGAGAAATGCAGTGTGCCCACAGCTGACCAGCTATGAATCAACTACAGAGAAGTAGTTGACAAGGAGGAAAACCCCTTTTTCTCTCTATACCCACCTCTCCCTCTGGCTCACTCCCTGTCTCTCTCACAGCATTTTTCTATGACAGCACCAAATACATAGATGCCCTGCCTTCTCCCTTTTTTTCTTTCTACTCTACTTCTCTCTGTCTTCTCACACTCTTCTTCTTCTGAGGCTGTACCTCAGGGATTATGACAATGGTGATTTTGTTTTGCGCATCTGTGTCTCCTTGACTTGTTGAGAAATGACTAAAGAGTAAAGCCCAGACTCAATATGTCATAGGTGTTGAAATGGCTAATACCACATTGGCATTACTGTTAGTCATGGCTCTGGCTTATGTGCTACACTCCATTGCAGACTGAAAACTAGATCTTAGCATTAGCCCCCAGAAAGTTATCTTAGATGCCAGATCACGCATCCTTTCAGTTTCATTATGTTTCATGATTTCAGTGTAAAATTGATGGTCAGTCCAGGGAACTAAACTTAGTAGCAAAGGGAAAAAAAGTAAACAAGTCAAGTTTACTTGTAAACCTCAATATTACATAGGCTTCGATGCTTTAGGACCCTGATGCATATGAGGTAGGGTCTGGAGTATTGCAGGAGAAAGAGAAAACAGTGTTGTAAAGAATATCCATAGCAGGAAACTAAATTTGAAGACTGTCACTGCTGGACAAGTGCCCCATTCACCAAAGTTAAACCTGCTCTAATCAATATTTTTAGATTAAAGTGAAAGGTGTCGCTGGTAGAGACGAACCCATGCAGAATTTTACCACCTTCATTAACTTCATATCCAGTGACACCAGACAACTTTCTTCATCTAAATAGTTCTAAATAACTGGCTCTGTGCTACCTTTCCACGACATATGGAATATTACGTCTTTGATAAAGATGAGCTTGAACACAGAGTTTTACTTGTAATCTTAGTTTTGTAAGTTGTATTTCAACTCCATCAAGCTTGCAGTCAGGTCTGTGCTTACAGGTTTTATTTGATAAGTCTGTAGATTTAGGACTCTTTTTTTCCGTGCTTGCACATTCAGTTTCATGATTCAAGGATTACAGGTACAAAACACTGTTTTCAAGCCCACCTTTATGAATGACATAATATACTGACTCAAATTCAAATGAGTGCTAAAGCTGGTCCTTGTCTCCTGGATGTGTAGGGAATGATCTAAGTCTATATTTTAAGGATAGCAAGTGAGATGGCTTCCCTAACAGTGTCTAGGCGTTTATTCCAAAGAAAGGTTTTATGGTGGAAAAATGCTTTTGCCTGGGGATTTTGTGTTAGTTCATGGGGTAATGGTTTGTTAATCATGGCAGTGATAGACCGCGTAACATTTAATATGTTGGAAAGTAAAGGCAATGAATGGAAGAAAAGACTGAAGTTATATGTTTGAATTTACAAACATGCATCGAGCCTGAAAGTTACAAAGCTGTGTGTTAAAGCCACAGTGTCAGATATGCAAAGGAACAGTCTACTCTCTGCTATCATGGAGGTGAAAACATGTAACAATGATGACAGTGATGTTAATAATATGTTTGTTGAAAGACAAATCCTTTGTCAGGGCATGATGACAACACCGCGCCAGTTGAGGACTTCAGCCAAAAAAGTATGATTGAAGAGATCAAGTTCCCCTCCTAAGCCTTTTTTCACATTGCAAGAATACATTTAGACGTTAAGAGTTTATACCCCCCGAAAGAAGAAATTCAATCAGACTGACAACTGACAAAAATGAAATCACGACTCATGCTCCAGCTGAGATGCTGACATGACACACATTTGTTTATTGTTACATTGTAAAACTCATTGAAATAACATTAGCCATCACCTGCCAGTGCTTTTTAACCATAACCAATATGTACTAATGCATTATGTTTGTGCCATATCAATGCATGCGATACATGACTGCCTTGAGTAATAATGTAGGACAGTGTAATGTAAAAATGGAGCAGTGCCTCTTTAAACAGCATGCTCATACCTTTTGTTATTGATCAGCTCACCAGCTGTTGTAAATGATCACTAATCCATATTGACCTTGCTAAATTGGGCTTTGACATCACAGATATTCTTTCTTCAAAAATAAAATAAATGTTATGAATAAAAAAAGGTGCAGTTTGTCAGCATGAAATCCTATGAAACATAATACAAAATATAAGGGTAATGGGCTTAGGGTAGAGTAATAAAAGAACATATTTATACTGCTTATTAATACAGTCTTCCAGCAACGCTGTATTGTAAAGCCAATAAATAAAACAAACAATACTGGTCACACAATTCAGTTGTTCTTTCCTGAAACTAGAGGATTTCACATTGATTTGGTGACAAAAGACAACATTGTAGCACCACTGAGTACGAAAGCCAGCTCACACAGCCTAGACCCATCTCAGAATAGTTCTCTCATGTATGATGCATTTCATTTTTTTTCATTTTTTAAATTTTTTTATATGACAACAGAGTATTCTGCTATTGTCCAGCTATTGAGGAAGCCCACTTCGATTATTCCCAGCCTGTTTTTTATCAAGCCTTAGAGTACAATTATGTTTTCTTAGTTGTTTCTTTGAAACATCCCTTTTCATTATCAGACCCCAGATTTCCAATTCATCAAGAATTGCAGTGCACACTAGGGCGTATCACATGTTGTTGCGTGGCAGTGCTTGAAACCTCGTCAACCACTTTCCTCTGTTGGTCTGCCATCATTGGCCTTTGGTTTACTGGGAGATGTTGGGTGTCCTGGGTACAGATCTGTTCAATTACATACAGTATATAAACAAAGCTGGGATTTTTCAGGTTTTCAGTTTCTTTTGGACATGTCAGTCCTATTCGCTTTAATCAAGATTCCCATTTTGCTAGTTCCTCCTCATAATTCTCTCCTTTATTTGTACTGTCCTGATCACATTCCTGTGTAATGCTGTCAGAATCACGTTCTTGTATCCAGATGTCCGGCATCGCAGGGAGAAGAAAGGGCACTGTAACTCTCTTGCACTTCCATTGAAATGTCCTTTGTTTTTTCAGTGCTCGCCACACGCTTAAAGCAAAAACACTGTCTTTTCAAGCATGGACGTCAAATATAGTCTTTTGTCTATCTAACTACCGATCTGTCTGTGACACAGACAGAGTCACTTCGTATGATTATAGGTTTGAATTTGAACAGGACTGGCAGCACTGCTTGCCATAGAACTTGTGGTTGCAGACTCCATGCTGAGGCACCAGATAACACCAGTTGAAGTAATCCCTACACGCAAGGTCTGTGGAAAAAAAAGAAAAAAAAATGACGTGTCAAAGTTTGTTTTTACTCTGACAAAGTGTTTTCAGACTATAGATAACAAGAGCAGCAGTTTTAGTTTGTCCAAAAGCATAAAAAATGCATTATCTAAGAGCTTCAGTACCTTTCTTTTCAGGTTGTGGGCAGAAGTTGGTGTTGCAGGCCTGGGACATTGAGGGTTTAAGATGGAGTGCACAGCCAGGAGAGGGCTTCCCCTGAGCCAGACATTGGACTGTCCTGGCCTGCACTCCGCCTCCACATGTCACTGTGCACTGTAGAGTACAAACAAACAAGGCCTTGCTGATGAATACTATGAATGCGAGGCACCACATATAACATATTTAATGACCCCTCTCTTGGCAATCATGAATCAATCATCAGGTGTTGATGACTTCAAAAAGTAACCATAAACAATCTCTGCAGAGACAAAATGCAATATAGTACATACAAGTTAACCTACCTGAGACCAAGGAGATGAGTGCCATTCTGGTCGAGATGGAGGTTGAGGGAGAGGCTGGGGTGGATAGGTGCGATGATGCGTGCTCCATCGGTGGATTGGTGGGGTAGTGCGGACAGGGCACTCAGCCAGGACACAGGGTCTCTGGAGCTCGACTGTGGGCTTAGGAACATGGTGACACTTCTTGGCAGCAAGCTCTCTGTATTTTCCTGCAGTGTCCTTTATTATGGAAACAGAGAATATTAATGTAAGCTACTCGATGCAATTGTAGCTATAACATGACACCCTCAAGAAAACCATTCTTTACAATAAAATCTATAGCACTGTATCTATCTAATATATGCAAAAAAATTAAAACCTAAGTTATAGCAAATTGAGATTTGAAGAAATTAAAATTTAAAGCTGTGAATTGTCACACTTAATCTTTAAGTTACTAATCAAACAATAAGGAACCACCATTCTGCTACATTTGAGTAAACACAGCAAATAAAAATACAGACCTTCTCTGCACATTTGATGAAGCGTGCCTGATAGCCACGACCACATGTTACTGAACACTGAAAATGGAAGAAAGAAAAAATGGAAAGAGAAAACTTATTTACATTTGCAAAAAAAAAAAAAAAATTTACATACTGCAACTACTGCTTTATTCTTTTAAATTTCATATTTTCTCATCAGTCTTCATAACAGCTGTAAAGAATTACCTCTTGCCACGTGGAGACAAACCACTGGACTTTTCGTTGTTTCTGGCAGCGTTTAATAAAGCAGGCTTCTTGATTGGCAGGTTTCGGCAAGCCTGCACACACACTGTCTGGCAGAGTGTGTGTTTGGGCACCTGGGTTGGTGCTCGTACACACCACTGTCCTCTTCCTCAAGCCATTGCCACACTTACGAGAACACTGCCAAGGAAAGAGAGACATGGTAATGATGATACTTTACGTCTTTAAATTATTTAAGCTTTAGTGGTCTCTCTCTGACTGGAAGATCTGATTATGACAATATTATTAAAGATGTCAGGAAGGAACATGCCGACTGGGGCAGAAAGCTGAGATCAATTAAATCTGTACTGGAGCAGTGTGACATTCACACATTTGTTTGCCTGAGAATCACATCCAGGTGTCATTATAGAGAACATTTTATTATTCAACAACAATACAGTATTGATAATGAATATTGGTTAAATGGGATCTGTTTATAAGTACATTTGTAGTACACGTAATTTTAGAGGTAGTCTTTCCACTTTCTCTTGACTCAAAGTGAGGATTTGTCTAAATGAATTCAAGATTTGACATAATGAAGCTATTACATGACTTGAACATAGAAAGACATGTCTCAGGCCAAAGATCTTAACAAGCCAGCTACGCACAGTCTACCATATATTCACATTCTCCACACAGTGACTTATTGTGCTTTACTTCCTTAATAATTCCTTTGAGAAAGGCCCATAATTCCCCCAATATTCACTCTGATCCCATGCACTTATGGCACAGTCTAAATCAGACTTCTGAAAGTGTTTCACTTCCAAGAAACAGGGGGCTGTGACGCACTGCCTGTGCCACAGAGGAAGTAAACTGGACACCACCTGTGGCAGGTAGCTAGGAACATTTGGGGTTAAATGAGAGTTTAACAGTGAACCGAGTCGCCACACATTATGTATAGGAACTGGACCGAGAACATGAGAGGTTTCAGTGGGCACATTCATAGTTTAAAGCCACTGAGATCACTGTCATAAAATGTAGTGGAGCCATCAAGGCTAGGTTTCACTTAGCAACAGAGTGTGTAGCGCAAGTGTGCAGCTTCCAACTCTTTTTTTCCTCCTGTGGATAAATGTTTTGGGTTGCATTTTATTTTGCAGTACTACAACAGTATGTCATTCATACATCGATGTAAACACACTGAAAAATCCCATTCTTGTATGTCTGTGACAGATCACTTTCACACATGCTCACCTGTGACCATGGCCCAGTGGTCCACACTGGTGGACAGCTATGTGTGTTGCAGGCTTGCCTCCTTGCCGGGGTGGGCTGGGCACAGCGAGAGTCAGCCAGGGCGTCTACATTGGCCTGGCTGGTTCTCTGGACACACTGGACCTGCCGCGTCTGCTCTCCTCCTCCACAGCTCCGGCTGCACACCCCCCACTCTCCTACAGACCAGCTGGGACAACACAACACAAGCCCGCTGAGTCAACATGCACAGCTCCTCAATCACCTATTCAGACATGCCTGCGGGAATTTGCCAGTGACACGATAATTAAGCCACTTCTCTTCTGCAGTGGCACTGCAGTCCACTCTGCAGCTTATTCTTCTTCTGATTTTTCAAAATAGAAATGACTGTAAATCTCAAATCATACTGTATGTCTAACAATAGCCTATTAATAGACTTTAAACATCATTCTAAACACCTTCATATATCTTCTCATGTCTTCATATATTGCTGAAATCAGACATAGTGGAGTATTGCAGCCCTAACTATAGAGTTTAGAGGTTTGTTCATGGCTCACTGGCTTCAGAGCAAGTCAGAACAGCCGAAACACCAGGCTGTAATTTAAACCCCACTCCACAATTTAACCCCCCCTCCCCCTTCGCCTTGCCTAAACTTAGCTCTTATCACTGCTAAACCCAAATATCATCACATATTTTCTTCATAATTACCTCAATTTGTACTGTATAGTCCTGACAAACAGGTTGGCAACTACTAAACTTGGTTGCTTCAAGATACTGTATATATTAAGCATCCTTCACATTAATTAATCTCAGACACATAATCCTCTGACCCAGATGAGTGCTCAGTTTAGGACAGTAGAGTTTACATTACTTTTAGTGCATTTTTTTTTTTTTCAACACTGCACCCCGGCAGATCTTATGTCTTAAGTCGCTTAATCCCCGAATCTCCTATCCCTTCTCTCTTCCTCAAAGCTTCATTGCATCCATCCCAAACGACCCCAAACTCAAGGTGCAGGCAGCTCAATCCCTCATCACACACTCTGTCATCCCCTCCCTAACTTCACCCCAATGCACCCACCCAGCCTCCAAAGATCTACCCCAAACAGCCCCGAAAATGTTGCTGTCAGCGCACAGAGTTGTATATATTAACACTCTAAACTTTATTTGTAGTAATTTGGTGCATCACTTGCTTGGAATGTTGTATAAGGAGGAAGAGAAGAGTATAGCTCTATGAATGCACCATCGAATCTAAATAGATATGGATGGAGAAATTACATCTGGTCACACATAAGTCATGGCTTGTCAGGGGGAAGATACACACTTTAGTATCATCAAAGGATTATTTGAGGGAGGATGAGATGAATATACAGAAGAAAAATTTCTGTTCAGCTGTTTACTTTAAACATTTAACCTAGTGATCAACACGTACATGTAACACATTTGATGTGCTGACATGATATATTATTAGCCTTTGGCACAGAAATAGGAACTAAACTTTCATGGAGTCATTAAATATATAAAAATCAAGCAAACAGTAGATTAACTAAAGTCACAACAATTTTTAGCTGAGACATATTTGGACACATTATGCTTACAGTGTTGGCTACAAGAAAGAAGAAATTCAATATATCTTGTTTTATATATATCTTGCATGTATTTCTTAATTTGTATATCACCAAAAATATTTGAGCACTAAAAACGCACAGGATTTTTATGATGTAACGTACAAGCTTGTAGTGGTTAGCTGATATCATGGATTTATTATGTAAGAACATTTAACAACTTGCCACAGTATGATATCATATGGGCACACTTTATCAAGTTTTATTCAGGCTCTCTTACACCACTTAGTTGCATCTCAGATATCAGTTTTTGCACAGAAAAGTAAAATATAGTCATCTGACCTACAGTGAGCAAAAGGTTGTAATGTAGTAGCTGATTAAAATGACACATTAGAGCTTTGATAAATACTGAAAGGCATTCCCTTGTACCACGGATTTATCACCTTAGTGACCTCACTGGAATGGTCATTGGGATAATATACTGATTGATGCCATATCAAATTATAGACCACCTTGTGATCTTTGCCGTGGCTGCTATCAGTAAGTGTTGTTGGAGGATGAGTAAGCATCATACCCTTTGGACAGAAGCACACGGGATCAGATATCCTGTGGACAGAGTGTCAGATAGCCTCTGTGGTCTAAATGACGCTGTCTAGATGCTCACCAGGGGCATTAAATAACCTCTGACCGGTGTTTATGGCTGCGTGTGTTTGTACTTTCACGTGTATATGTCAGTGTGTGGGTGTTTCTCTGCTTATATTAGTGTACGTCCGCACTGCGAGACAGAATGATATCATGCTCTAAATGTGAGCGGGCATTGGAAACCTTTTTCCATGATGTAATGCCTGCTCAGTCCAACTCACTGGGTGCAGACACAGCAAAATGAAATAAATGCAGGCCCTCAGAATAGTGTGACCTGCAGAGATGGACTGATGACCACAGCCAGCCAGTCTGGTCTAGAATGCATGTTTTGGTCGCTTCAGCACATGTTTTGTCTCAGCTCACAGTTTACGCACAAAGGAGGGCCCACACACTGTAAGAAAGCAATGCACTGAAAAACTCATCCAGATGCTTGGTGAAAAAAAAGAAAGAAACATATGTACATATAATAGGACAATATGTTTCAGTTTAGTTCAACAAAAAGGTTCTATAATATGCCAGGCATGCCAGTACTCTGATGAAGTGGGATTAAAAAAAAAAAAAACCCAAAACAATACAACACTATAACTGTATTATACGCATGTTATGAACCTTTCATATGAAATTTAACACATTGCTGCAAATTACTGTAATCAGAGTGTAAAAGCATGCGTCAGTGCAACCTAAATGTTTAGATTCTGACCAAAAGGAAAAAGATGGATTACCTAATGTTATTACTGTATAGTTTTCTGCTGTAACATGAGAACTCTGCTGCTTTTAATATGCTTTTTATATTTGAATTTGTAGTCTGATCATTTATGTATTTAGTGAGTTTGACGGGATCTTGAATCTATTAAGAATTAATTGAGAGAAGATGATTGTCATATGGATGATAAAAGGCTCAGCTAACTGGTTTAAGACAGTAATGCATTAAATTCCTGGATACTTCAACAACATCACGTTATTTGACTGACTGGCAAGTATTACTTTAGAGGAGTTGTAATTTACTGGCAGGTGATGTCGTAACTAAGCAATAAATCAAAGTTGTGCATTCATCAGCATTATTATTGCATAATGAATTCAAAATATGTTTTGTGAAAACACTAAAAATTTGTTGCACATTACAGAATATAAAACATGTAAATAGCAAAGTAGCTTTGTAAGTGCCTTGCCAATACCTGTTTCAGCGTGCACACACACACACACACAAACACACAGGCACGCTTAACCAGCATCAGCTGTAGATAATGAAGGAGATAGGCCCAAGAGATGAGTGTAAACAGTTGTGAGATTACTTTACAGCCACTATTATCACTGCTTCCTCAACTCAGTGTAAACACACAAATCCATTAGTGAGTAAATGCTGATAGGGCTAGTGTGTGTAACTTTGTAAGTGGTTGAGTGTAAGAGAGAAGGGAATAGAAGAAAGAAAGCAAAGTGGAAAGAAATATCAGAGAGGTGCGTGAACGTCTGTGATAAGCACAACAGAGCAGGGGAGTAGCTGTGCTGGTGTACATGAGAGAGGGAGAATGTGAATTTGAACATATTTATAAATGACTTTTAAAATATACAGACAGTGAGACAGACAGTGTGTATGTTTGTCATAAAGCCACAGCCTCACAAATCCCTGCTGAGAGATTGGAAGTGCTGCAACCAGAGCACAACTTAGATTGAATGACAGCTATCCTTGGCTGGCTGCTTGGTGGTATAAGTGTGTGTGCGTGTGTGTATGTGTGGCGGGACAGGGTTGGACAGGTCACAGAGAAAAAAGACGTCACATCAAAGTGTCCAGGCCATTAGGGTTATGTTTACAGCTGAGCCTGAAGCCACCCAGGTAATGGACACTGCAGTGGAGGTCTGGCAACCAAGCCTGCTGTTCCTCTGTGCAGTGTGTGTGTATGTAGGGACAGAAAGGTCTCACAGACTGACCTCAAAGGTTTCACCTAGGCCTCTGTGTGAGAGAGGGAGACGTAGGGGAAACAGAGACAGACAGTGAGACAGACAGAAACTGACCTTATGGCTTTCACACAAAGGGCAAGAAAGAGGGGCCAAGGGGACAGAAAGTGGTCTTTCCCCTTGGGAAATTGAAGCATCTGTTGTACCTACAGTATCCTGGGAGATGAGTAAGCAGTTAAGTACTGACTGAAATCTGTGGAAATGAAAGAGTCACTGTCTCTGGCTACCGGATAATGACAGTGTGATCACACACTGTAAATGTCTAGATAAAGCTTGAATTGTTTGGCTTGTTGGCATAAACCCACAGTGAGCAAGAGTTTCCTGATGTCCTTCTTGATCTACAGTATGCGCTCTTCTCTCCTGAAATGTTTACTTTCCTTTCTCCACTAGGATCCATTTACCAATAGGACTATAATTCAATTTTCCGCTGTAAGCGTGGCATAGAAACATAATACACTACATGAATTTGGTTCACATACATAGACAAATACATTAATATGTCCATTTGGGTTATCTGATTTCTACGAAGGTATACATGACAAACATAGTTGAGACCATTCAGTGAGCCTTGTTTCAATGTAAAACTGAAATTTTCAGGGTGCATTATATGAGTTATTGAAGCTCTATAGGACATTTTTATGGTGAAATATTCATTTTGAATTTTTATCAGTGCTGTAATTGATTCTTACAGGAAGTCACAATGCTTTTTATTTAACTTACTGTAACCCAATGGTTCCCAAACTCTTTCTGTCATGACCCCTTTGGAGGCTCAATATATTTCATGCTCCCCCTCGTTGAGTTAATTGATTGCATATTTAGCAAACAGAAATACAGGGGAAACTCGCAACTAGCAAAAGACCCAAGTTACATTTTATACAAGAACATGTTTCTTTTCATGCATGTTTCTCATTAGTTTCTGTTGAGTGAGTGAAAAATGCAAGTTAACCTCTTTCCAAACTGCCAAACCTTTTTACAACCAACTTTATTTGACAGTGAACTCCAGAGTAAGATTTGCTTCTTCATATTTTGGATTTAATGCACGTGTTTGCTTGAT